CCAAAAGGCGGTATCAAAGAGTGGATTTCAAAACAACTCGCTAATTTTGCATCTGCTCTTCAAAAACTCGGAGTGAGCGCGTTGGGTGCTCTGCCGGGCATCATAGGCAGCATACTGAGTTGGCTATTTAACGCGCTGAGTAAGTCCGTATCGTGGTTGGCCGAACACGTGTGGGCTTTGTTTTTGGGTGTGGGGGCCTTGGTGTTTGCGTACCTGCAAAAACGATGGTAGTAATAGTTGTAATCAAGTTTAAACAAAAAAATAAGCCTTACCAACTTTGTGCTGGTAAGGCTTTTTTTTTGTGTTGTGAGATTAGAGTGTGACTTATCGCGTTGCCTCGTAAGCTAAAATACCCATGCCAACGATAGCTAATATTCCTACCGTCAACGATAATTTTTCGTCTTGGTGAGTTTGTAGTTTCGTGGGTTGGGTTAAAACTGTTGGTGTTGGTGTTAGTGTTGGTGCAGGTGTGAGTGTTGGTGTTGGTGTTGGTGTTAGTGTTGGTGATACAACATCGGTCATAGGCTCTAGGGGTGTTGGTGGCGCGACGTCATCGGTGTCATCAAAAGAGTCGTCCGGTTGAGGTTGTGAGTTTAAATCTGGTACCAAACCAGTGTTCATACTCTGGGTAGCGATTTGAAGATTGTTGTTATAGCCGTCGTGCGTTCCAACCCTCAAGTTCATATCCGATGGAATTAAATATAACCCCGGTTTCACGACAAAATTTAAAGGCGTTCTGGCATACTGCAAAGAGTCTTGAAATTGATCGATACTCGTTTCCATGTCGTCTACTGCATTGATGATATCTTCAACGATGACGTTAAATTGTCTCTGAGCGTCTAATCCGGTGCCCGGTGATAATACGCTCGTTTTTGTTTGAGCCTGCGCACCGAGTAAAGCGTACACGTAAGATCTGATCGATTCGTTGATCTTTATGATTCCCGCGGAGGTAAACGAACTCTTGGCGGGTATAAAATCTAACCAAGCCATTTTGACGATGTCGTCTTGTTCGAGATAACCCTTCCAATGCTTAAAAAAAGCATCGTGTTTTTTTGGATCGTCTAAACCCCAATTTTTATCACCCGTGGGGTTGATAAAATCGTCGAGTGTGGTCGTGTTTTTATCATAGTCTAACGGCAAGAGTAAAAATGATTTTGTTTTTTCGTTCCAAAGAAAAAGCCGACCTAAGCCATAAGTCTTTTGATCTCTCGTCTGTTTAAAAGACTTATTTTGATCGATGGCAAACGTCCGACAGATGTTGGTAAATGCTCCACGATCATAGGTGTTGCTGAGAGCGTCAAACGAGTCTTCTCCCGGTATTGCTACGGCCATGTCGTTTAATATCCTTCTCACCGTAAAGTATAGATGAAAATTAAATAAGGCTTTAACGTAACGGTTGTTCGAGTTTAAAATATCGATTCCAACACCACAGCCCGTTGTAGCGCAATAGATCGCAAAGTTTAACTGATTTTGATAAAAAGACATGGGGTCTATTTTCCAACGAAGTACAGCATCGTTGGTATTGAGGCGAGATATTTTATAGTCCGAGATTAAGTCGGGAAACGGGGTTAAAAACGTGTTAGACGCGTTGACCGTAATCTCGAGTTCGCCAGTGAGATACGGACTGTCTAGTACATGCGCTGGGGTGGTAGCTTGTCGTTTAGCTACATTTTGATTTACTTGTTTTGTTACCTGATCAGCTATCGATTGTATCTGCTTTTTTAACGACTTAAAATCACTCATTATTTTAGTTTCAGTTTTAATATAAAAAGACTTTAAAATAAATGCATTCGTTTCACTTGTTTCAAAATGAGCAGACGTTTAAATTAGAAGACGTCGTAGATAATTTAAACGGTCAAAAATATATACGCGTAAAAAGGGTGTTGTTTAACGCCGGATATTTTAATATTTCCAGCGCCACGGAGATTGATTGGTTTACGCAAATAGATGGGAGACCCGCGTTTACCACGGATAAACCTCCCCTCATACCCGCGGAGTTTCTTTCAGATGTACACATAAGAACGCCGGATAGAGATTTTATAGAGCGATTGTTACCCGATATACCATACCACTTTTTAATTAACGATGAAAATGTTTTACAAAAAACTATAAACGATCTTATAAAAGCGTACGAAGACGATAGACTAGAATCCGTTTTAGAATCAAACAAAAGAAAAAGAGCTATTATAGCTGAACGGCGAGGGTTGATTTTAGCCGCCATGAATTCAGAAATACCAAAAACTGAATTAGAACTTAATACGCTTCAATCTTTAGTAAGAATATTATTTGTTAGAGAAAGAAAAATCTTTGAAGGTGAGGAATTGGCTTTAAAGTTTATTGAAGGAGAAATGGGTGCGAGCGAATTGAGCGAGTTGAGAGATAGTAGGGAAGCAGGGGTAATTATCAGGGGAAGTCTTATCGTGACGGGTGAGGATTTAGATTTTATTCCTCCGAGTCATTTAGAGCCGTTGCCACTCGGAGTCACCGGTTCGGTCATCATAGCACCGGGGTGGTACGACGTCGATTGGTTCGATTTCATTTTAAATTCTATACCCGGGGTAAGTTTTCGAATATTTAGAGAATCTAAAAAGGTGACATTGGTGATAACCGACGTAAATCTCAAATTGCGCTTGAACAGAGAAGTATCTCGATTACTCAATTTACCCAAAGGAAGACTGATACCTAAAGTGGTGTATACGGGGTCTTACGACGTTAATCCGTTTAAATTTTTGTTTATTCACTGCCCGCAATTAAGTACGAGTGAAAACTTTTTTAATGGTCGTCCTTCTGACATCTTAAAAATCGTACCCGTGGCTACGCGCAAACCCGATATTGATAGAGCCGAGGGATTTAAAAATCTTAAAAACGGTATAATCGACAAACTGACATTTTCTATCAGCGGTGAAAAAGGACAGGTATTCAACAATAAGGGTGAGGGTATCATTATCGAGTTGGAGATCTTTTAATTTTAAAATCTTTTTATATTAAAAACATGAGTGTAGATGGTAAGGCGTTATACCCCGATATTTCTGGAGATGTACTCCGATTAAATAGTAACGAAGAAACAAAAGTGTACAGACTTAAAAAGATTGAAGAGATTCGATCTTTAATCTTGAAAGAGAGAGACCACCGAGAGCGCACTTATAAAAAAATAAAGAGAATGATCGACACTATTAATTACGTAGAGATAGGATTAGAAGGATTGGGGACTGTAGCGGGGGCTGTCAGTATACCCGCTCTCTTGGGTGTTATATCAACCCCCGTTGGATTGGTGCTAGAAGGAACGTTTATAGGCGCTTTTGGTGTAGATATTCTGCTTAGAATCGCGTCTAGGCGATTATCCGCCAAGCTAAAAAAGCACGACCAGATTAAAATATTAGCAGACTCCAAACTTAACACGATTGAAGAATACGTGTCTCAAGCCATCAACGACGGAGATATATCGCACGAAGAGTTCTTACTGATTACGAGAGAGCTCGCCAAATTTAACGAGCTTAAGCAAAAAATTAGAACAAAGACCAGCACAAAGCTTCAAAAAATTAAAAACGATACAGACTTTGAAAAAGAAGTTAAAAAACGGGTAGACGAACGGCTGGCAAAAGAAAAAAAATCTCTTATCGAAAAACTTACAAGTTCAAATTCTCGGTAAATAAACATTATGAAAGCGATCCGCCGAGTTATACCTCTATTTCACCTCTTAGGGTGTTACCCTCGGCCCCGCCTTTATTGTAGTGGTCATCGTATATTTTTAGTGCTTTATTAAATTGATTTTGAGTCACTTTAAATAAATCTCTAACTCGTTCTTTGTCTAATCCAACGACGTGATGATAACACGCCGCTATTAATGACCGTTTGACGCAACCATTTCCCCTCAATGTTTTGTAATTAACGAGCTCGTTATATTTATTGATTGTTTCTTGGACATCTTCTGAGTCTTGCTCTGGACAAACAGACAAAATAAGTTTCTCCACAGTTTTTCTTTTGTTTCTCTTTAAAGTTGACCAATTGATACGATCTTCTTGCACATTTTCTGCCGAAAAATCAAAATAACGTGAAACTATTTCACCGCACGTTTCACAAATTAAAAAACCATTCTCGATGATTATATGATGATCGCACTTATCCCCAAGTTGTGACGTCCCAAAGTATTCCATCTATTTAATAAAAACCGATATTATTTTTTATTCATTTTTCAAATACTCGTCGGTCTAAACATATTACTCTCCATTTTTATATTAAAAAACAGCTCCTCACCTTTTACAGGGTAAGGAGCTAATTTTTTTTGTCTCGAGTTTCAAGGTCACGTTGTGGTGACTCACACACGTTTCAAGGTCACGTTGTTTACGCCAAATTTCTATCGTGCCTCAACACGTTTCAAGGTCACGTTGTGGTGACTCACATATTTTCAAGGTCACGTGGTGGTGACATCACCTCATTTTAGCGACGACAGATTTTTATTTTTTTTTCTCTCTCTCTCTCGGCGTCAGATTTTTTTTTTTTTTTTTTTTTTTTTTTTTTTTTTCTCCCAGCGTCAGATATATTTTTTTTTTCTCTCTCTCTCTCTCTCTCTCCCGACGTCAGATTTTTTTTTTTTTTTTTTTTTTTTTTTTTTTTTGCTCTCTCTCTCTCTCTCCCGGCGTCAGATTTTTTTTTTTTTTTTTTTTTCTCTCACACCCGGCGTCAGTTTTTTTTTTTTTTTTTTTTTTTTTTTCTCCCCCACACCCGGCGTCAGATTTTTTTTTTTTGAGATCGGGGGATTCCCCTATATTTTTCCCCAACTATTTTTAGAATCGAGAGCGGCGTGCTCAGGCTTGCCGCAGATTTTTTCCATTTTGCTCCGGTTCCCCCACCTCCCCTACTACTCCCCACGAAACATCATTGTCAGAGATTGTCACTTCAACAGTGACAATCCCCACGTATTAGCTGGGGCAACACACAGGGGTGGGGGGGGGGGAATAATTGATAAGGCACATTACAGGAACACATAACCAATAGGTCACCTCATAATTCTTGAAGAGTTGACGCATGAAGAAAATCCAGCCTCCGAGAAAGAACAGAATCTGCATCAGAAATAGGAATGAATTCGTTTCATTTCATTTATTATTTCGCAGGTCAAATTTACAATGGGTAAAACAAAAATAATAATAATATTACAAACAGCATAGACATAAAAAAGACACAGTTAAAAAAATACACATTTAAACCTTATAAAAAGACTAAAACCCTTACACCAAAATAGTTGCACGCCCCTGCAGGATTGCTAAAAAGTGAACTAAATCACTGTCAAGTAGCTCCCCCATAGCATGACTAAAAACCCTATTTTGCAAAAACACAAACATTATAATTTATAGCAGACTTTACACTCTTACACATAATCCCATGGGCGAAAAGAAACACCCTTTAAAATAGCACAAATTCCTGAAATTAATGGAATAATTTTATATATTGCACCATATTAACAAGAAAAAGCAAGGAAAACACCCCAAAGATAACTTAATTTCTAAAAAAAAAAAAAAAAAAGTATTACCCAGAGACTAACGTTATTCATCAACTGTAGCTCAATAAATGGGTCTCAAATACTGGACTTGCTGCGTATTTACGTAGAGGACCACCATGTCCACATCAATGTGCGCTAAATTTTCAGAACAGTTTGTTCCCTAATCTGAATAATCTGAAAAATATATTTTCTTCACTTGATGTTGATGGTCACTAGTGAAGGTAGTTTTCTAGTAGTTTATTACTAATCAGAAAATCCAAATTCCTTTCCTATACTAGGCCTAGACACGTCTAAGGGAAAACGTAGAATGGGAAAAACGTGGAACACAACTGTCAGAAAATATATAGCACACAATGCTGTGGCTCTCTAAATATGGTAGAAGTTTCGTTTTTATACCATTTATTCATTGGGTCCGGTTCAATTCCGTGCATAGTAGTATTTCAAAACACATGAAAAAAATCAATATCCACCATGACCACCAAACGTTAGTGCACGTACCTGGGTTGTAAACATGACAAAGGAATCCAGAAAGAAGGCCATATTTACACTTTACTTGAAATTTCAGATCAATAACAATTGTTCAGAAGAACACCAGACTCCTGCTGAAGTTGGAAAAACCGCCCCTATTTTCATGAGTCTATTTGCAACGTGTACGGACGGCGTACTGCCGCGTAGATAAGTCTTCCTGCCATTTTGATGGAATGTCGGACACTTCGCCCCATTTCCACTTCGCCCCTAACCACTTCGCCCCATCTCCACTTCGCCCCATCTCCACTTCGCCCCATCCCCACTTCGCCCACCCCCCCCCCTTCGCCCCATCCCCACTTCGCCCCAGCCGTTACATGTAAAAAAAAAAACTCATCTATTTAATTGGCAAAAACAATCCCAAAAGATTAACTAATTGCTGCAGCGAAAATCATTGACTAATATCTGCTTGGTGTCAGTCGAATGAGCTTTTTTTTTAAGCTCCGATTTTCTTTTAAAAAAAAAAACAAACAAAAAACAAACAAAATAACCTTTTATTAAACGGAAATGCAAACTGCATTTTAATTCCAAAATGTGAAAAACTTTGCCTGCACAAATTTCCCAAAAGCGGCAGCATTCTTGAGCAAACTGCGAGAAAGATGCGAGAAAAATAATTACATACAAGATTTCTGGCTACGCAACCGGCAGCTCCCATCCAGGCATCACAAGGGAGTCTCCTAGCAACAGTATTTCTAGGCAACCAGGTTGGAATGTGATAATGGACACACAGCCATGCAGCATGCACCTGTGGCTCAGATAGTTCGGAATTCCAGCATTATAACGTCATATTCATGAAAGCAGACGGTCCGTGATGAAACCAACCAATGGCGTATTTATTGCCGGGAACTGGCTCATTTCATTGGCTGAGATACTATCATCACTGTTTATCATCTAAGAATGTTCAAATTACTGGCGGCAGGTCCTCATCAAAGGTGGTCTACAGCTGAACCCGAATGTATATACTTTGTAACGAACATGAGTGGCACTGTATCAATTTGAACAATGCCGCTGTCGATCATTCTCCGGAAAGGCTTTTTCGGAGCTGGATTTTATTCGGGCATTTTTTTAAATTCAAAGACCGGGGAAAAGTTTATGACGAAAAGTGAGGGAAACTGAAATAAAAATGGAATTTCACCCCTGTAAAGGGCCTGTATCGTGTTCATGTACATCAAAATTGAACAGAAAATCAAAGATGATGAAATGAGCAAAAAGTTGATGTGTGTACGTGTCTTGGTCCCTGTGTCTCGAACACCTCATCAGAGAGTTTGTATTTTTCCTGATTTTCTAGAATTGGGAGCATTTATTATCGGGGTCTTTGGCTGTTTTAATATTTACTGATCTGTGCACCCCTAGCATTCACCTTTGTACATTGGGCGAAGTGGATATGGGGCAAAGCGGGGATGGGGCGAAATGGGAATGGGGCGAAGTGGGGATGGAGCGAAGGGGGGGGGGGGGGATGGGGCGAAGTGGGGATGGGGCAAAGTGGGGATGGGGCGAAGTTGGGATGGGGCGAAGTGGTTAGGGGCGAAGTGACATGGGGCGAAGTGGAAATGGGGCGTAGCGTCCGACACCCTTTTGATTTATTGGAACAGCGCCCTCTGAAAAAATCTTTTCGCTTGTTGTCGCTTGAGATATTTTTAAAACTTCGGCTTTGCTTCGGGAACGGCTTGAACACTGGGTATGGAGCCCCAAAAATATTCTCATATTCTGCAAGGGTCAGGTTTTTGGAAAGCGTGCCTCCCTGTGTTTCAAATATGTCGACTTTCTGCTGGCAGAAATTTGGATTTTACGACGGGTGCACATCCTATTCATTTTGCAGTTATCCCCTGCAGTAATCCTCACATCACCTGTGCACGTCATTATGTTAGCACATGTAAATATTGTAATACTTTGACATATATGTATTTGTGGACACTGTGGGAATAAAATGAACTGAACTGAATGTACTTTCCATGCATTTGCGCTGCATAGCGTGGTATTTTTGTAAACCTCCATGGGCGGATCCAGTACTGCCGGGATTGGGAAGGGGAGGGGTGTGTCGGGGCCGGGGGGTTGCGGTCGATTGGGGAAAAGAAGGGCTCTCTGAAGTGAAAAAAATGCCTTATATGAGAAAATTTCAGTAACTGCCGGATCCGCCACTGACCTTGGTTTCGTTTAACCATGGAGCCTACCTCCGTGATAAGACATTTAAGTTTTCAAAACGGTTTTGAAAACGGACAATAAAGCCATACCGAAACGAAGCCGATGTTTTCAAAACACCACAATCCAAATTTCTTTTTTATAGAGGGCGCTGTTAAAACAAAATGAACATGACAGATTTGCAGTTATTAAAGCACGCGGATGCGCGGATTGTGATCGTTTTGATGACTCGCAAAGAGAACTGTTTATGATCTGACTGAATGACCCACATTTAATGGGTCAAAGGCGAAACACTGTAATGACCGTGGAGCACGGGGTCTTTCAACAACGTGAACATGATGATTTGAAGGTGACGTTTGCCTTTCTACATGTTCTTTTTTGTAACGAAGTGGCTATCGTTACGGCATTCGTTGTTTAGCGCCCTCAACGATTCTTTTTTGATACGCACGCAGGTATATAATTATTTGTTTTCCCGTGTTTTGGTGAACAGTGCGACAGCTCAGTCGATAGCGGGTAGGATTTTGCACCGCGAGCGAGGTTGCGGGTTCGCATCTCAGTTTTGCACTCGAATTTTTTTCCTTTTCTAACCTGAGGCTTTGGAGGTTTTTTTTAAAAGGGAAATAAAGTCCGAATTTTATAACGTTCAAATTCACTTTTTTCCTTCGTATTTATATTTTCTTCTCATGTTTTTATAAAAGTTGCAGTACTACCGTAACGATAGAAAATGGGAAATGCGTTACGGCTGCCGTAACAATAGCCACTGCGTTTTTGTAATGCAACTTTGCAAGCCAATGCATTGGCAATGTCAACCTTTTCGCATCCATTCATGTTGTGGAATGGGAATGGAACAAACAACGCAGTTGCTATCGTTACGGCAGCCGTAACGCATTTCCCATTTTCTATCGTTACGGCCTACTGCAACTTTGATAAAAACATGAGAAGAAAATTTAAAATTAGAAGGAAAAAGGAAAAAAAGTGAAATTGAACGTGATGAAATTCGGACTTTATAAATATAATAAATATAAAGTTTATTTCCCTTTTCAATAAGAATCCTCCAAAGCCTGAGGTTAGAAAAAAATTCGAGTGCAAAACTGAGATGCGAACCCGCAACCTCGCGGTGCAAAATCCTACCCTCTATCGACTGAGCTGTCACACTGCTCGCTAAAACGTGGGGAAACAAATAATTATATACCTGCGTGCGTATCAAAAAAGTATCGTAGAGGGCGCTAAACAACGGCTGCCATAACGATAGCCACTTCGAACAAACAAACCAGGCAATTTGTGCACAAACCAATGGCACTGGTGTGTGCTGTGGGGGGGGGGGGGGCAATGATGGCACTGTTAAATAAAGGAATTAGTAAAGGGGAGAAAATTCTTATTTTGGAGGTTCCTTGCCACTTACATTCTCCCTGATTGTTTAGATTATATTATAAAACATTAAACCTATATGATGAATTACGGTACTTGCAACTTGTCTAGACTAAACAAAGCACATCACAGATTAGTTCCCAGTCGTCTGTTATTACAAAACTTCCTATGGGGGGGCAGAAAAAAGCAATAATAACAGCTTTAATTTAATTCAAATTATCGCAGTTCAACGAGTACAGAAGCATAGATCATTTTCTTTTCTCGATATATGAATTATTTCCCCTTTAACCCCTATTCATAAATACCTCAGACAGTTTAGCTGTTCCTATTGGTCGAGAGCCCGTCACGTGGCTGGTCTTAAACGGATGATAAAGACATGGCTAGCTGGTCTTAAACACTTTTCCAGTGTCACATGAAATGTGGACTCCTAAAATCCAGTGCCTTTTACCGTTTCATTGGTTGAACGTTCACAATCCTCACGTAGGCATGCGCAGCACTACAAGCGAGTCAGAATTTTATAGTTCTAAATTCAAAACGCAACGCCCCAGGTGCGTTCTGCGTGACATCGCGCAGAACATGTTACGCGCGCGTCAATCTCCATAAAAGGGTTGTTTACATCTTACTCGCCAGCTGAACACTCCATTATTTTGCTAGAGGGATGTTTCAAAAAGCATGAAGTGAACTTGTTGAACAAAATCAGGATTTTTTTAACGAATTATTTGATATTTTTTTACGGATAAGGTATTTATGAATGGGAATAAATATGTGCTCGGTCGGTATTTATCACTCTGTTTAATACCGCTTAGAGTCTGGGTGCTGATAATTACCCGAGCCGGAGCGGGTAATTATCAGCACCCAGACTCTAAGCGGTATTAAACGAGTGATAAAAACCTCCGGAGCACACATTTATTCCCTTAGTAATATATTTAATTTAACAAAAATTTGCCGTGCAACGTTTGTTATGATTGCACAAATTAATTAATTTCACACGTTATAATCCCATGCAATCTTAAGAATGAGCGCTCATCCTTCAGATTACGTGCTCATTCATAAGAATGCGCGCTCGTTCTTAAGAATGCGCACTCATTCTTAAGATTGCGCAAATTGCAAGAAAGTGCACAACGTCAACAGGACCGTGAACCAGTTAAAATATTCATTTGATTTCTCATTTCATATCAAGAATTTAGTGATCGTCTTTTTCACACATTGTAAAATTTGTAGCATTGTAATTTGTCAGAATAAAGTAAGTTTTGGGGAATCCCCATTTCCAGGTTCATTATCATGAATTGTGAATGGGCCTATTATTTTATTAAAATATTATGATCCAGCCAATATTGCCCAATCAAAATGAAGATTTCAAGCCAACGCCTCCAAATGCTGACCAATCACGATTGTTCCTCTGGGCCTGCTGACTGGTACCTGGGTTTAACCTGGCAATGCCTAGAAGGAAATTTCAAGATTATTTTCTTCCTTTTTTGGTTTGGCAGTAGATATTTAGCCAGCGCTGGCTTTTTTTTAAACGATATTAAGCTGGTACAGCACTGAACATGCACAGTAATTGTTCCTTTTTGGACTTCAAAAATTTTGCCCTGAAAAATCTTAGTCTAGTTCCATGCTAACATTGTCGTGAATTTGTATTCAGATGAATCAGACCATTTACAATTTTGGACTTTGTTTCCCTTAAAAAAAAAAAAAATTCCTCTAGAACCATGAATCAGCAACAGAAAATGTACTAACCCTACTTGCAAGTAAACTTTCTTCCACTTTCCCTGCCATGCATTTGTGCACAGGCTAGTAAAAAAAAACAACAGTCAGATCACCTTAGTGTAATCACTGTGACTACAATGTACATAGTCCAATTCCATCAACGGACAAAACAGGTAACTGGTAGACCTGTACAGCCGACGTATGTACTTTGTATATCAATCACCTCCAGTCAAAGCGTGGATATCGAATTAACAAAGGAATCTCAACTGTTAAAAACAGTTATTTAATTGATTTGACTGTTGTGAATTGGCCAGCCAGAGAGGGAGTTATGAGTGATGTACATGTACATACACATATGTACAGTACAATTTTTCTTTTGAACTTTTTTATTTGTACTTGTACTTGTGTTTTTAAGGACCCCGATGGAATTAAGCCGTCTTATAAACAGCTTTTTGGGTTATCCTTGGCTTTGTATTTACATGAAATACGTTCGTTTTTTATACCACTGTATGTTTGTTTGTTTTTGCCAAAATAAAATTTAATTTTAATTATGTAGTTCCCACATGACCATGTGAATTATTTTGTTGTCCATTTCAAAGTAAAATTCAAACAGTAGGCCCTACTTCTTGTTATTGTAGTGATGGGTGCACAGTACTGGTAGTTTGGGTCATCATGGAGGAAGGCAATAAACTTGCCTTGGAGAAAAAAATATTGGAGAGCTTGTGGAGGATGATAGGGATATGTCAACTACATTTTGTACATTGTACATGTTGTATATTGTGTGATTTGTCAATACAATTAACCCTAACCATCCCAAATCCTCCAAAGTCCTTTTTGCAAATTGGAGGAATTTGCAGTATTGAGGTTACATTGCAAAAGTACGTTGCTGATTTCGGAGGACGCACTTTGTCAAGGTCTTGGGCCGGACCTGGATTGGTTAACAGTGGTTTGTGTTCAGCCGTGCATAAATTTAGTCCTTGATTATACTTGAAATCCTCCGCACTGCTCCAGGATGTCACTGCCTCTGCCTCAGCCTATTGACAGTCACTGCCGCAGGATTTTGCAGGATTCAGGCAGTTGTCACCCCTCCACGGACCATATTCAAGAAATAATGGAGGAATTTGCAGGATTGAGGCTATATGCAATTTTTCCATGAGGACAATTGGAGGATTTTGCAGGATTGGGGCTACATCCTAGCAAAAAGGCCTAGGGAGTTAGGGTTAATAAAATTATAAAATCACAATCTTAACTGTAATCTGTGTGCAGGCTACAAGTACATTTTTGTACATACATTTGTACATGTACATGTACATGTACACACATTGTAGTAATATCCACCACTTGTGCATGTTGTCTACACGTACTTTGCTTGTAAAGTTATGTGGCAACATGTTCACATGTACAACTCTATGTTGAATATTTTCAGTATTTGAAAAAGAAGGTCATCATACATGTTGTATGTGCTGTTGCTTTGCAAAACACTTTGCTGACCTGTGTTCTATGTGACCTGGTTCTGTTCAAGGTGGACCCAATTTTCATTCCAGAAACAAGTTGTAACTGTACATTGAACATAGCCTGATCTAAAAAATCATCTCTTGGAGTCTTGCCTTGAGCTGAGTATACACTTTTTGACCATAACATTTCTCCACTTAGTGTACATTTTTGTACCGTACATGCATGTTCATGAAAAGCGTTTTTCCAAAGATAGATCGCTGTCAAGGTATTGGAGTTCTTGTACACGTCATACGTCACCACATGTCTGGGCTGGCATGTGAACTTTGTGTCCAGTGTAACAGTAAACTCATCAGGTGCTTTAAATTCAAACCCCTCCAAGTCAAAATGGAAGGGGCTATCAGGATCATGTACACCTTATAGATGACCCAAACCATTCATTCTCAGAGGGGTGTTCCCATGCAGGAGCACTGCCCTTCTGTGGAGGTGCTCCACTTTCCAAGTAAGGCATCCTGCAAATACTTGGCATTCCATACGCTTTACACACTGCCTGATGCACACTCAGAAGCTGCAGTCAGAGCTGCACGAACTCTAATTTTATGTTAGTGTGAATTTTCTTGGGTTGGGCTCCGTCTGCTAACGCCTCGGTAACTTTAAGTGATTGATACAGTCTGAAAGGACATTTACAGTGAGGACCCAAAGTGGATTTATAAATGTCACGGATGATGTGATTGCCAAGGATTTGATTTCATGTATTGAGTGACTACTCTACATACATGTACTTTTTCAGAGGACGGGATCTCAGCTTCACATACATGTATGAACAGACTTTCTGTCAAGTTGGAATTTTTGTTTTCTCCGGTTATCGTTAGCCGGCGTCACCAGAGCTGATGAGGATTGTCCACCTTTCTGACGTGTGGTATATTTTATGCCGACAAGCCTGATGAAATAGGTTCAGTTTTAAATCGTTGATGAAGTTCAGCAGTGATTTTTAGCCGGCGTCAACAGAGCTGATGAGGATTGTCCACCTTTCTGACGTGTGGTATATTTTATGCCGACAAGCCTGATGAAATAGGTTTACTTTTATGAACCGTCGATGAAGTTCAGCAGTGATTTTGCCAACTGATGAGATTACTACTAAATTGTCACGCCCAAACTGGTGGCCACAGATCCTGAATTTGACTGGAAGTCTCACCACATGACCTACATCATGTAAATTCTACATTTCACAATGTAACCCCCACACATCTTCACAGTTACTGATTATATCCAGCATTTATAACAATTTTGATCAAGCTCAACTACATGTACAACTGTTCGACTTCGACTTGGTGACAAGATCAATTGTTTTTTCATCTTGAATGCTGAGAAGCCATGCAGAGTTGCAGCAACATGTCTTTACTTGTTGACCATACCACATCGTCGGGTGAACCTGAGGTGTACTATAGCCGCTACATGAGACGTCGTCAGATGGTATGTGCTGGCACAATGTCCCATACAAAGCCATCGGGGTACATGTACATATTGTTGATGTACCCTAACGTGGCGCGGCCCCCAATGTGGCGCACTTTGATTTTTCTCCTGTAGCGCCCAGCTAGAGCAAAAGTTTTAACTGAAATTTCACAGAAAGTGACATCTCATCAAGTTCTAAACACTACCGTTCATAAATCGTGATTTTATTCACCCGTTACAAAGTTAGAAGAAAAAATTATTTTGGCGTGAACACTTTGAAAATGCCCCGAAAAATAAGAAAATAATTTTCTGACAAACATCTGGCTGGGTATGTAAGTAGAGATAATAATGATTTATCAGATTTTATCAAGTTAACAGAAATTCTTAAATGTTAATTTGGAATTTTCCAAGATTTATTTAAGTGCGCCACGTTAGGGAACACTCCGCGAATTTGTGCCCAATTTCCGGACGCCACCGTTTTTGAATTCCGGATTAAATTTTATGAAACTGAAATAGTTCACAGAGGTTCAATAGCATGCATTAATAAGGTCAAAGTACCAGTATTTTACTGCATGAATTTGAGGTTTGTCAACAAAGAGGTTTGGCAACACTACACAAGGAAAGTCGGGTAAGCTTCGAAGTGCCCCACGTTAGGGAACACGACTATACCCAATTTCACATTTGGCATGTTTGGTTTGACTACACAAATTTATTTAATATCAAATTAGGTTTTGCCCTTCACCGACGTACATGCATAAACACTGTATCCTCAGTGTGTCACCTCCTGAGTGAAAGTTGGAAAAAATCACTGGGGTGGGACTCGAACCCACGACCTCTTGCTTTCTAACTGCAGATCTCTTACCACTCGACCATCAAGCTAACGGGATCGGTTGGCTGGTTCGAATCTGATGTACATAGCAGCGGGTACCGCATGATTAACTATTCATAAGATGGGAATGTTGTTTACATTTAACATGTATGGGATTTGATTTGTTTGTGTACATGTAACAGCCAATACGAACTTGTTGTCTTAGTTCCTTTAGCTCAATTGTGATCACCTTATTTCTTATGATTTTCTTTTGATCCTCTATCAGTAGGCCTATCCCTCTTATGACCCTCTGGTGATAATTTTATGTTAATCTTTCTGACACTGTCTTATGATGTGTCTGTGATCATTTTTTTAAACCCTAATGGTTCGAAGATCCTTCAGGATCATATTACATGTATGATCCTCTTTTGATCCTTCTATGATGATCTTATGATTCTCGTATTTTCATCCGGAGATCATCATTCAATCCTCCTGTGATCATCTTGCTGCTCTCATGATCCATCCTTGTTTCCATGGGTACGATCTTGCTGCGCCATGTTGTTTCCCATCATGCCTTGCGCGATCGTAACCCCTGGAATTGTGTAATTTAAACGTCCTACTATTTTGTTTATATTTAAATTAGGACTGCAGTAAAGGTAAGCCAATTTAACACGCGACGCAATGCTTGAAATTTAGAAAATATTATTTTGTAGCATCAATCCTTTCAAACATTTTGACGTCGCGTTATTTAGCAAGGATTTGTACTAAATGTACGTACCTCTTTCGTCCCTTTACAACACAAGATACAGTTTTTTCAAGGGTGAAAAACGAGGCTTCCAGGATCCATATCATACAGGCATCCAACAGTCTTGAACAAAAATGTTCGTACGTGACGTGACGTTCAGGAACGCGCGAGCACATTAAGGATTGTGAAGGTTCAACCAATCAAACGATGCTGGCACCGGATTTCATAAGAGTCCAAATTTCATGTGACACTGGAAAAGTGTTTAAGACCAGCCAGCCATGTCTCTATCAATCGTTTAAAACCTGCCACGTTACAGGCTCTCGCCAATAGGAATGGGTAAACTGTCTTATTTATGAATGATCATTTATGACCCTCATGTACATGTACATGTGGTTAAACCCTCTTGCAATCCCCTCTATCACAATCCCGATTTACAGAAAGAGGTACATCTAGCCTTAGCCCCAACAGTCCAGAATCCTCCAATTTTCATATAATTTTTCACACCCCCTAGGGAGTTAGGGTTAAAGCAGCTCATTTGGGTCCAGAATGCCCTCTGTGATGACCTTTTTGATCTTCTGATGATCTACTTATGACCCTACTATGATCCCCTTACGACCCTCTCTTACAATCCTCTCCCTACAGAACCAGGAGATAGCCTTGAACCAGCTCAAGGAGATCACAGGCGTCCAGGATGCGCAGGCTCTCCGCCACGCCTACGAGGCCAGCCGGGGGGACATCAACCAGGCCATCGTCTTCCTGACGGACGGCAGCGCTGCTGAGAATGCCGCCCGCCAGCAGCCAGCTCTGCCTACCCCTGCAGCTGCGTCAGTCCCCAGGAATCAACAGCTAGCAATTGCTGACACGGGAACCAGCACGGACAAGGCACCGGTGTACGGCCCTAAGAATAAAGGACAAGGTGGGTACAGTGAGAATGATTTTACTATTAAAGTTATTATAAACTTGTTTTCAGTTTTGTGCACTTCTTTGTGTGTACATGTACCTGAATGTACATGTATGTATGTAGAATATGCAACACACATTTTTGATTTCATCCTTACACACTGCCCTGTCCACATACTCTTGTTTTACTTTACTCCCGAGGACAATGCTTTGTGTTTCCCTTTGTCCCTGTAATATAACACACTCCCATAGACTAAGCACACAAACCTACTATAGAGGACCGTTTTGAACAAAAGACCCAACTCCCGAGGACTGAAAGGATCTGTTCTCTCTTTGTGTGTCTGTCCTTGGGGGTTGTGTAGAACAAGTACGTGGGTGCTGGCAACTTTTGGACTCTTTCACTAAATCATCGTAAGAAATGAAAGCATGGAGGCCTGTAAGCAGAGACAAAACAAAAACCACAAAAGAAAAAACCACACGGGGGAGTCAGGTTGGTGTAGCGGTACTTTCCTTGCCTTCCATCGCTGTGACCCGGGTTCAATTCCTGCCTGGGCAAAGACATGTGGATTGGGTTTTCAGTCCCTGCCTGATTCGGTGGGTTTTCCTCAGAATATTCTGGGTTTTTCCTCCCACCTCTAAAGCTGTAATTTCTTCACATTGTGTTCTCTTTACTGGGCCCCATGGGAGACCAGTGGATGCCACTGAATGGGCTAATAAACTGTGTGATTGCATTCTTACACCTAAGCTATGTTATAAAAGACAAATACAGAAAAGAGGGACAACTTGTGTTGAATAACTTCCTATTTAAAAAAAAAGTTTTGCTATTAAAGGGAAAATACAACATTTGGAAACATCAAAAAATAAAACTACCAAATCATTTTGAAATACCTTGCTGGACTGTTAGTGAATGACAGTGTAAAGCATACATGTACTGTAAATCATGGCACCTGGTATACTGTCATTTTCAAGAAAAGTGGTATTTTTGTATCAATTTCCAACGCTGGTCAGCCGACCAGCGTTGGAAAAAACTGGCTTTTTTTTTCAAATACTGGCCCCAATTGACCATCGCACTTGTTTGCAATCAATTACACACCTATGAACGGGTAAAAGCCAGCTAGACTGGTTCCCTGACCTTACAATTCCCCAATGTATGTAAACTGCTCTGTTTCTTCTTATATGGAGTCAGGGAACCAGACTACAGGAAAATGATTGTTTTTCTTGGTTTTTATAGCATTTTCGAACCCAAAACCTCAAAAAAGTCAGTGTAACTATATTTGCTATATATTTCCAACCCTCCAATTCCAGCCATTTCTGAAAATTACAGCAAAAGCAAATGATGTATATGCCCTTTAATGCAGATGATATTTAAAAATGCTTGCATAGTAATATCTGCGCCTGACCGAACAATATTTTGCTAGGATGTAACCTCAATCCTGCAAAATCCTCCAACTGCCTCCATTAAAAAAACATGCACATGTGCAGCCTCAATCCTGCAGAATTATCAGTTATTTGTTGAATGTGGTCCTTGGAGTGGTGACCGCTGCCTCAATCCTACAAAATCCTCCAGCAATCACTGTCAATATGTTGAGGCAGAGCCAGTGACATCCTGGAGCAGTGCGGAGGATTTCAAGTATAATGAAGCCTAAATTTATGCACAGCTGAGCATAAACAACACAAGGTCCGGCTCAAGACCTTGACACAGTGCACCCTCCAAAATCAGCCACGCATTTTGGAATATATAGCCTCAATCCTGCAAAATCTTTCATTTTGCGAAGAGGATTTGGGAAGGTCAGGGTTAAGCATTAGTCCTCAATTTCTCATGCATTAGTAAGCAAAAAACTTTTGCAAAACAGCACCATAACTGGGCCCTGGTTTAAGTCTTTTGAATTAATAACAATCTTGCAGATGTGATTGACTTGACCCACGATCGGGATGAAAAAGATGACCTCCAGAGAGCCATTGCACTGTCGTTACGAGAAACGGCAGGACCGAGCACGACCATTGGAGTATCCACAGAAGAACAGGATATCAGCCGGTACAAAAAAAAAGTGACCCTTGGCGTTATGTACAGGGGTGTGAAATCTCCGCTATTTAGCGGATTTCCGCTTTTTTGTTCAGCGTGCCACATTTTGTTTTCCGCTTTTTTTCTTCCGATGGTCCAGATTCCCCCCCCGCTTTTTCCCCCGCGCGTAAGCTTTGATTTTATTTCCGTTTATTTTATTTTCCGCCGAACACACGCGATCCGCTCTCTACAACATACACGTAGCTCTGAGATGGGGTGCGTGCAAGCGAGTATTCAATGTACATGTACATTTACGTACGTACGTGAGTACTATACGATGCCATGTGCATGCATTTTTCAGCTCGAAGCCGCGTGTGTACACAACGTGTAAACAGCATCCGGGGAACCAACAGTCATTGCGCTGTGATTGGCTGCAGATAAATATGAATATTCACACATGCGCCATGAAGCGCGTTGGGACTCTTTGCGGCCGTTCCTGTGTCTATGCATGTAGTGACACGCGATGATCTCCACAATAACTCGCTGTAAACATCGTCTTGTTGCAAATATAAAGCCTTGAAATAAGACTAGTAAATTGTCGCCGCGCCGGTAGAGGGCATCATGCATGCGGGGCAAAGTTCATGTGTGCATTTCATTGCATGCACGCATCGGCCTGCTGCGTATTCCGCTGCATGCTGATACGTACGTTAGTGTGTCGTTTCAAATGTTTCAAACGTATTTTGACATTGATTCCGCAAGATGTCAGTGCAACACAAATGTGTTATTATCCCAAGAGGTTCGGAGTTTCATTCGGACATTGACAAGACCGATCCTCAGGTTACGAATCCGTGGAAATGGATTTGGATGGAACACATGGTTAATAATGGGCAGAAATTAGGCGACTCGATTAGAAGCCGGGACACGCGATGACGATGTGTATCAATCATCTGCAGTAAGAGGAGTTAAAATATGGAAAACGTGGTTGAATTTCCCAGTTTTCATATACAAGTTGGCCATTTAGGCAGTTTTAAGCAATTATGAAGGAAAGTTAACTTAAAAACATGCATAAATTGCAAAACATTTTTGACCAATAGTTGGCCCAGGCATGCCAGGGGGCTTTAAAATGCACCACAGAACATCTACACTTCAAATTTTTTTCGGGGCCCTTGGGCGGGCCCCGAACCCCACGTCGTAAGGGCTTCGCGCTTCGCGCTCGCAGGTTCGGTTATTTACAGGTTCAGCTATTTTCAGCTATTTTTTTTGGACTCCACTCACACCCCTGTATGTAGAGCTGTCAAGCACAGACTTAATTTGTTAAGCACTGAAATGTGTAAGGCGTTCTTGCAAAATGAGATGAAACTGGGTAGAGGCAGTAGTGGAGAAACATGCGAAAAAAAGCAAATTTGTAATATTTGATATGACCATAGAGCTAGGACCCGTGACTACTACACATATTTTACATTTTGTAAAGAGAATAGTGTAAAAGTCTTTGAATATAAGTGTTTTTATGGAAAAACAATTGGCATCTTGCATTTGCTTGACTACAGAACTTGAAACTTTAAAGGCCTTATAAGGAACTTGTGTATTGGTGTAAATGTGAGGGGTATGCATTGCCGACCTTTGTTCAATGAGACCTGGTTTTGCTTACGACGAAACGTGTGTTGATTTCAACGTGGGTAGCTGAGACGATAGTTTAAAATGGCCTGTAGTCACTTCACATGGTATATCTTCAAACCTTTCCCAAAGAAAACTCCCGACCATGCGAAGCCTCAATTTATGTTTAATTGAACTTGATTCTTTACTTTGCCATTATGTGCTATGTACAGGGCGTTGGAGCAGAGCATGGCAGAGAGTAAGTCTGGTTTACGGCCCGGCGAGGTCTGGTTCAGCGACCCTCTCAACCCACACGACCGATGCAGAAACAATGGCTGCCCGGTGGGGCTGAAGAACGTGGGCAACACTTGCTGGTTCAGTGCAGTCATACAGGTACATGCATAATGTATACTCACTCGTTTGTTTTGAAAGAAAGAAAAATGGGCCTCTTTATGAAAAGCTGTGTCTATATTACTAGGTTACAATTTACAAATATAACATGGTTTGCGGGTTGATAGGTGAAGAACTAGTTTGTCAACTTCCAGTATAGAGGTGTGCTAGTATACAAATATTGAATGCTTCGAGTGGTGTAGTAAAACTAGCCTCCCGAGGTGATCCATGGACATTCTATTTTCTATAGGGAAAATAGAATGGTCCATGGATCACCGAGGGAGGCTAGTTTTACTTCACCACGAGATAAAGCATTCAATATTTGTTTTATAACACTTCACCCACAGATTCTGCTTGGTTTTAATATCTTAAATTATTCAAATCTGGACACAGTTGAAATAAACCTCAATTTCAATACAAAATTGGTGGAAAATGTATTTCTCTCTTCGAATCTACCCCTTCACGATATGTTTGAACCCAAGTCTGCGGCGCGCTCTCTTTGGAACAATACGCGCTACGCGCAAGGCGCACACCAGCATCCATTTGCACACAAATACCGTGCCGTGGAAATAGTACTTTGGTTGCTAATGGTAACTTTTGTTGCTACACGTATAGTACTTTTGGCATTGCACAGAAAGATAGCAAAATTAGAAAGTAACATGTGACTCGCTCTCGGCCAATCAAGACACAGAATCTGCGGGTGAGGTGTTATAATATCGACTATCCACTCGAAACAAACCATGTTGTATTTGTTTGACTCTGTCTCATACATATGCACCGGAATTTTGTTGAGTAACAAATCAGTTATCTCTGCAAAACATTGCTGCGTGTACATGCTGCCATCTTTTCGTGTAGCTTGCAGTGTTCTCCAACTTTGAAAATCAAAGGTTGGCGCTGGGGTCGGCGGGGACTCCTGCGAGCGCGGAGCGCGAAGCCCTTACGGCGTGGGGTCCGGGGCCCGCTTAAGGGCCCCGGGAACATTTTGGATTCTAGATGCTCTGTGGTGCAATCTGAGGCGATTCTCCAGGCCAGTTCCCCCGATTTTTTTAGCATTCAAAAATTTCCTTTTCAACCTAAAACAGACTTCTCTCAGATCAAATGACACCTTTTTGTAATTTTGAAAAACAAAATGGGATACAAATTACGTTTTTTTTAACGCGATTTTATGGGTGGTGCCGGTGCCAATGCGATCGTCATCTTTATTTTCATGTTGCGTTTTGTCGTTGTCATCGTCATTTTCCCCCCAAATTTCCCTCTATTTATGACCTACCTGTATGTTCTTAAATGTCGCCAACTAGTTTGGTAAGTCAAATAAATGAAAAGTGGGTTTTGGTCTCTTAGGGAACCGGGCCCATACACGATCGCCAAACTTTTGACAATCGGCATGATCGGAACACATGTGCACGCGTGTTTTGGCCTCGAGCACGTTTGCCTCGTACTCGTACACATCAATGCGTATTATATTGTGCACCGCGCGTGCAAGCACTGAGAAAAAGAAAGTCGGTTGGCTGCACGTAAGATCTGCCGTACGTACTCCTGCTGGTGTGTGTGTGTACTAATACAGATATATATTTTTGCGGCGGGGTTGTCGCTACTTGAAGTATCGGCACACTCCGGAACTGGGGATTCAGTTGTCAGTGTGTGTGTACATCGCGCGTACTATAGTATAGTACGTACGGGTGCATGGGGAATCACTGGTGTTTACTCGGCCGGCCGTGCGTGTGATTGATTCAGCGAGATTTTAAGACAACCCCGATCAGGCTGGGATGACATCGAAAAACATTGTTAATGTGTGGAAAAACAACTGAAATCAATTATTTTAGTTGTAAATGTACACTGTAGAGTCAAAAAAATTAAACCTGGCGGCAGGATTTTAAAGCTTGGCGGGGACTTCTTAAACATGGCGGGCGCCGAAGAAAGCATGGCGGGGCGCCAGGTTTGTTCTACATGTTGGAGAACACTGAGCTTGGGCAATGTTTGCGCTTGCGCACTACTCCTGTTTGATAGTTCCACAATAAGCGAGTTTGGTCTGCCAACTGCGCATGTGCCCATCAAGATTTGCTGATTTTTCTTTCGGGATAAACTTTTCATCGTATGCATGCAAAAGCATAGCGGGGTACCAACAAAATTGAAAAGATCATCGTGTTCTGAAACTTGTATAACATTTTGCTTAAAAAAATTTGGACAGCGAAGTGTTTTTGGGTGTCTTGTGTGTGAAAACTTTTGTGCATACGAAAGTTCCATCTCTTTTTGATTGCATGAAAAATTGTACAGAATGCAGTTTTGGTTACCACGTCCCCCATAGCCTTGTTTGCATTTATCTGCTGCGGTTATCCCGAAAAAAAAATCGCCAATTTTTGCTGTGCACCGGACTATGTTTGGAAATCCAAACTGGCTTATTGCTTTGTAAAGCACATGTGTAGAACCTGTAGACTAACGCCTGGGTAACCCTTGACAATTGGAAATTCATGTTTACTTTTCTGATGTATCGTCATTTGCAGTCCATGTTTCATCTGCCAGCGTTTCGTCAGATGGTCCTCAACTTTGTGCCGCCAGCCAACATGCAGGCTCACCAGGCGGCAGCATCAGACACACCTGCTAACACGCCTGCCAACGCACCTGCCAGTAACACAGAGGTATGGAAAGATATTGAGCCTGTCAAATATGATCTTACAGTTCGCACAACTTGAAGAAGATGTGAAAATGTGTTTTATAAAAGCTTCATTCCGGCTTTTACTGGTGCAAAAGGAAGAGGTACTGTCGATCATTTCAGAAGCACCCTCCCCGAAACAAAAAACAAAAGATGTATTGTCAGTTCAGATGGCAGAGCTAATTCAGCCACTCGTTCTTAAACATTTTGAAATTGCAATGTAGTCATCATAACAATTATGGCTGTTCCCTTTTCGTATAATTTAGTATTCGATTATTTGGAACTGCGTTTCACCGAATATTTGATTATTCAAAACTCTCAAGTTTTGCACACGCCAGCTGCAACCATCTGCCGCGCGGGTCAAAAAATGCACGCAAAGCGCCGGTTAAAATTGACGTGCGGCAATCGGTATTATGGACTGCTGGAGTGTTTAACAGTTGGTATGTTATAAGAGTCTTATATTTTATATTAGGCTTTCCTTCGTTTTCCTTGTTACCTTTGTGCATTTTTGTTCTTTAATCTTGCATCAGCCTGGTTAATAAATATGACTTATGTTTTGTTTTGTTTGTCTTTTGTTTGTGTGTCCGATTGTGTCTGTCTTCTTGTTTTTTGTGTGATTATGTTGTATAGTCTGTCCAGGCTGTTCCACCTACAAGCCTTGGCTTACATGTATGTGAACAGCCTTGTACACGTATTATGTGAACAGCCTTGTATTCTCCTATTCTCCTATTCTATACTTTTTCTCAACATCGCTTGCTATTAATCCTAATTTAAATAATTAGATTCAAAGCATTACTTTTTCTGGTGGTAATTACCTTCATATTTGTAATCGCTTGTTTAAATATTGTACTTACATTATCCAGCTTTGTATTGGTTTATTGGAGAGTGTTAAATAAATGTCAACTGAATTGAATTGAAGGGTCAAGGGATTTAACCAGCTGAAAGGACGGGAAAGGAACTACCATCGACCAAAACAAAAGTGGCATCAACTTAACGTTTAATTTTTTTTTGAATCTTCAAGCCGGCATAAAGCTATTCGAATATTCATTTGATGATCAAATATTCAAATTTTCGGTATATATACAGGACAGCCTTAATAGCAATTGTAATTGTCGTTCAGGTTGTAACATGTTTCATGCATGTACATGTTAAAGAGGTTGTGGAATGCTCGAAGACAATTCCGTCATTTTTTGGGTATATGTAGTCTAAGGTGTGATGAAATAAAAACGACTATTGTTTCTGTCATAAAATGAGTACACAGGACTCGTTTATGCTACTCTGCATCGGGAGTCCTGTTTATTACGTCACGATTTACTGTGTTTTGTTTGCTGCCCGCAACGACGACTTTTACACAAATTGCACGTTCGGGTCGAAACAGGCATGACAGGACTTGAAAAAAAACAATAGACGTTTACAGAAATTGACAGAAACAATAGTCGTTTTTATTTCATCACACCTTAGGCTACATATACCCGAAAATGACGGAAATGTCTTCGAGCATTCCACAACCTCTTCAATAACCCTCCTGCTGTCTGAACAGTACGCAGTTGAAAACTCAATCTCCTCCCCTGCCATAGGTTTTATACATGGGCAAGTCACCAAGAGATCCCAGATCACAAATAAGATAAGCACTGTGACTAGCCAGAGTCCATCTACAGACAAAAGCAGGTAACTGGTAGGTACGGCTGGCTTATCAATCACCTACAGTCAAAGCTTAGCTGTATCAAGTTGCGTAAACAGTCACAGCCAGTCAATCCTGCTTTGTGTAGGCAGGGAGCTCTTACGTTTAACTGCTGAAAACAGTCGCTCAATTGATTGGGACTGCTGGGACGGCTTTGTTAAATTTGCCAGCCAGAGAGGGAGAGTACAGAGTGTTCATGATTGTCAGAACAGTTACCGTTTTTTTACCACTCAGTTTCCCGCCGGCCAGTCTGAACATCGCAACCTTCTCTTCATGACCGAGTTGAGGGCGCTGTTCGCCCTGATGCTGGGTACTAAACGCAAGTACGTTGACCCCAGCAAGGCGGTGGAGATCCTGAAGGGAGCGTTCAGCACCAGCGGGGGAGCCAACAGCCAACAGGTGAGGGAGTTTGGATCAGCCAGTCCGTAACTCTAACCCGTCAAGGTAGTTTGGCTAGAAACCCTGGTTAACGGCACGTAGAAACATTGGTGATTACCTTGAAACAGACCTGCCAAAATTAATAATGATAAAGGCCTTGTTCATAATTACGATACGGATGGTATCAAATACCTCGGGAAATTATTCCACCTTCAATCATTGAAGGTGGTTATAAAGGGAATGTACATCATTTGCTTTTGCTGTAATTTACAGAAATGGATGGATTTGGGGGGTTCATTATATATAGCAAATATTGTTACACTGACTTTTTTGACGTTTTTGGTTCCTAAATGCCATAAAACCAAGAAAAACAATCATTTTCCTGTAGTCTGGTTCCCTGACTCCATTTAAGATGAAACGGAGCACTTTATAAACGCTGGGGAGTTGTAAAGTTAGGGGAACCAGACAAGCTGGCTTGTACCCGTTCACAGGTGTGTAATCGATTGCAAACAAATGCGGACTAACTAAATATGGTCAAATGGGGCCAGTATTTGAAAAAAGCAATTTTTTTTCCAGCGCTGGTCGGCCGACCAGCGTTGGAAATTGATACCAAAATACCACTTTTCTTGAAAATGACAGTACACTAGGTGCCACGATTTTACAGGATGCTTCAGACTGTCATTCACTAACAGTCCAGCAAGGTATTTCAAATTAATTTGGTATTTTTATTTTTTGAAGTTTGCAAATGTTGTATTTTCCCTTTAAGAAAAAGTTGGCCTCTAGTACCTTTTTTTTTACGTGCGTCAGGAATAGAATCCAGTTATAAGACTAAAAAAAAGTGTGCATATTGTTTGTTCCTTTTCAGGATGTGAGTGAGTTTACACACAAACTACTGGAGTGGTTGGAAGATGCCTTCAAATCGGACTGCTCACGTCCCCCATCACCTCAAGCCGGGTAAAAAAAACAATTAAAGCATTAATAAAAGCCGAATCAGTCTTCCAACTGTGCTCAAAGGTATTGCCGAAGACGCGTGACGCTCACGCGTCTTTCAGAATAAATAAGTCGTGTGTATTTTGCACTTTACAGGGTGAGTAAAAAAAAAAACGAAACCCAAATGTCGGGACCATTGTTTTAGTGAAGTTCTGCATGTAGCCCTTTCAAAATCTAGGACACGAAAGCCCAATTCATAAGCTTTCTTTTAGTACAAGAATCATTCAAATCACTCATGTACTTTTCAAGTTACGGAGTTTTAAACACAACCACTGTTTTTAGGTTCTGTCCACGGATCACAAAAAAATGTCAGTGTTGTTTCTGCAAAACGATAACAAATCACATGAGGATGTGTGTGAATTTTGTTCATTTTCTTGAAAGAACGCACACCTTTTTTGTGATCTGTGGACAGAACTTAAAAACGGTGGTTGTGTTTAAAATTCCGTAACTTGAAAAGTACATGAGTGATTTGACCGATTCTTGTACTCAAAGAAAGCTTATGAATTGGGCTTTCATATCCTAGATTTTGAAAGTGCTACATGAAGAACTTCACTAAAACAATGGTCCCGACATTTGGGTTTCGTTTTTTTTTTACTCACCCTGTTCACGCATTAACCAGTACTCGCACACAGTGCGTCCCGCCCACAGGGCTAGAAAGTGGTTAAAATGCGCCCTCTTTCTTCACACGCGGACCCCGTTATTAATAAAGCATGGCTCTTTGGATTTCGATATTTTTTTTTTTTGGGTTTGAACAGTGAGGAAGAGGGAGTGGAAACGCCACGGAGGAACCCGATGTTAGATCTGTTCTATGGTCAGTTCAAAGCAGAGGGAATCAACGAAGGTGTGTACGGTAGATCAAGATCATATTTTCACCCTTCCTATAGATATAATTTTCTGTACATCAGACGGACATTCCCGTAGACCAATCTGAACACAAAGTCACTGTATACTCAAGGAGGCCCTCGGTAATGGCTGAAGCAGCGTGCCAGCATTTTGCACTACAACTCCTCCATGACATTAACCTGAACTATAGCTGGCACAATGCCTCCGATCTTACCAGTGATCACCCTGAGCATTGTTGACTCGAGTCGCTGACTTTAGTTCTGCTGCTATGTACATCAGATTCGAAACGGCCAACCGATCCCGTTAGCTCGGTGGTCGAGTGGTAAGACATCTGCACTAGAAAGCAGGAGGTCGTGGGTTCGAGTCCCACCTGAGTGATGTTTTCCAACTTTCACTCGGGAGGTAACCACTGAGTATACAGTGCTTAAATAACGTCGGTGAAGGGCAAAACCTAATTTGACTTTAGTTCTAGCTGACTTGGACTCAGTTGGACTTGAGTAGCTTCTTTTTTTTACTTGAGACTTCACTTGACTTGGGAAAAAAATGACTAGCAACTTGACTTGACTTGTAAAAAATGACTTGGTTACAACAGTAGTAATCAGATATTGCACTCTCCAATGCACTCCACAAGGAAGGTAGACAGTGATTGTATGCCTACTTGGTTTCTATCTTCCTTGAGGAATGCATTGCATGATGCAAAAGCTGATTAGTAAGACTCCAAATGATGTGAGTTGGAGGGTACATCAAATGACAGCAGAGTTGAAATGAATCAATCGCAAGCCGAGTATCACGATCACAAGTCACCCGCCTGACCAAAACTCAATCATAAGTCAAATCACAAGCCACTCAAGTTAAAAATAGAATAAACACCGACAAAGCCATGCCTTTAAAGTCACGATTCACTTGAGGCGCTTCTGAGTTGACCTGGTGATTATCTTGTGACTGACTCAGTCACAGCTCTGGCAGTCATTTTCCTAAAAGAGAATTTCTCTTGTACTTTGTTGTGCAGCCAATTGACAGCCCATGCAGTGCATATATGCTTTTTACTGTATTAAAGTATATGTTGGATTATAGTGGGAGGTTTTTTGCAGAGTAGAAAAAAATCCTAAGTACATTGTCAGAATATTAGCAGGACATTGTTATGGGGCACATCTGTATCTAGAGTAAAAGTTGGCAAAGCATCCTAGGGGAACATCACATCATCTACATTGACCTGTTCATATATTTTTTTATAACACCTCACCGACAAATTCTTTGTCTTGATTGGCTGAGAGCGAGTCACATGTTACTTTCTAATTTTGCTATCTTTCTGTGCATGGTCAAAAGTACTATGCCCATAGCAACCAAAGTACTATACCATTAGCAACCAAAGTACTATTTCCACGGCACGGTATTTGTGTGCAAATGGATGCTGGTGTGCGCGTTGTGCGTAGCGCGTATTATTCCAAAGAGAGCGCACCGCAGACTTGGGTTCAAACATTTCGTGAAGGGGTAGTTTTTAAGAGAGAAATACATTTTCCACCAATTTTGTATTGAAATTGAAGTTCATTTCAACTGTGTTCAGATTTAAATAATTTACAAAATTTAAATCAAGCAGAATCTGTGGGTGAAGTGTTATAAAACAAATATTGAATGCTTTATCTCGTGGTGAAGTAAAACTAGCCTCCCTCGGTGATCCATGGACATTCTATTTTCCCTCGGCTTCGCCTCGGGAAAATAGAATGTCCATGGATCACCTCGGGAGGCTAGTTTTACTACACCACTCGAAGCATTCAATATTTGTATAATATCGGTACCGTACATGCATGACAACTGGAAGATGTTCTGTAATCTTGTACTATGAGACTACAGTGAACTAGAGATTCACAGCAGAAGATAACCTGAGAATTGTCACAAAGTATAAAAGTGTTCGTGTGTTTGTTTCACCTGTACAGGCAAAGTTTTTATGAATCAAGAGACGTTTGGCCAGTACCCATTGCAGATCAGTGGGTATGAAGACCTGCATGAGAGCATCGAGGCATCCATGTCACATCGGGAGATTGAGACGGTACAACACGCCAAAGAGAAATCAGCGCAGGAGGTCTGTTTAAATAATGAACTCTGAGGGCGCTTTCTTATGAAATTGGGACTCCTATGAAATCTGGTCCCGTTTACCTTATAAAGAAGCTCAGCCTCACATGCATCAGTAAGTTCTCATTGTTCTGGTCGCTGAGCCATGCACGATACAACCAATGAGTCCGTATTTCAGAGGAGTCCCAATTTCACGCCACACCAGGGCCCAGTTTCATGGCGCACCATAACAGTTAGCCGAAAAGTTGTGCCTACTATAGCAGGAAAATGTGCTAACCTTAAAGATATAGTCCATCATTTGTGATTTGTGCATTTTGTTTTTGTGAAGCAACAAAAGTGTTCAAAATCTAATGAAGGATACTGAACAACTAACCTGATGAAGTTTCAGCTCAGCTTCAGCTGTATATTCCGAGAAAAGCAGCATTCTAGGATCTCAATTTCAAATCAAAAGTTGCTGAATCATGTTTTAAATTGTTTTGAATTGCAGCTATACGCGATGTCGCGCACTGATCCGACGAATTATAGCAACCGCATGTGCCTGTGCATCGTGCCAATGCTTGTGCGCGCTGCGCCGAATAATAAAACGAACAACTAATTTAAATTTTCCTACGGTGCTTCTTAAGAAGCACCGTTGGAAATGCCTTCTTTCGTTGATTTCTTCAAAATGAGAGCTTGCCAGAAAGGATAATTTCACAGGGAGTTTAGTCCCCTTACTATCTTTCAACATGTATGTTTTTCAACAATAATTACGCCAGTTACTTTTTTGGATAGCTGCAAATGATGGACTCGGGCTTTAAGCACTATGTCACGGCGTGGATGGGCTAACGGTTGCACGCGCATGGAGATTTCTATTGCGTCACTGATTTAAAGGGAAGATACAACATTTGCAAACATCAAAAAACGAAATGATCAAATTATCACGAAATACCTTACTGAATTGTTAGGGATTGACAGTCTAAAGCATCCTGTAAAATCGTGGCTCCTGGTGTGCTGACATTTTCAAGAAAATTTGTATTTTTCCCACCAGCGTTGGAGAAAACTGGCTTTTTTCAAAAACCGCTCCGAATTGTTCAATTGTTCCCGCATTTTCTTTGCAATTGATTATACACCTGTGAAGGGTACAAGCCTGCCAGACTGATTCTCTGACTTTACAATTCCCCAAAGTGTATAAATTTCTCTGTCTCATCTTAAGTGGGGTCAGGGAACCAGACTACAAGAACATGATTGGTTTTCTTGGTTTTTCCAGCATCTACAAGCCCAAAACGTGAGACAAGTCAGTTTAACAATATTAGTAAAACATACTAATCCTTTAAATCCATTTATTTCTGAAAATTGCAGCAAAAGCAAACGTCGTACATTCCATTTAAGCGTGCTTTTGCTGTGCTTACTGCTCGCGGTCAATGTCAAATGCATGCATGAACATGTGTGCATCCCTTCATTGGCTGCCATGAGTAATCTAAACAGCACCATCTACATGTAAATTTTGATATTTTTTGTTGTTTTAACTCACAGCATTGGTTTACAAGGCTGCCCCACGTGCTAACATTTGAGCTGTCGCGGTTCCATTTCAACCAAGTAATAGGAAGGCCGGAGAAGATTCACAATCGCTTTACCTTCCCACAGACTCTCTACATGGACAGGTAAACCAGTCTGTTTTGTGAAGGTAGACATAGATAACATTAAAAGGGCACATCTGCCTGAAGTTGCTCAGATTTTTTCGTTAACCCATTGGTCCTTGTTTTGCCCCAAACCACAAGCACTCTATGGTTTCATGGATTGTTGCACTCCATTTCTTTGCTTCACGCCTGAGTTCTGAGTGTAGAATGCCCCCTCCCCCCCCCCCCCCCCCCCCCCCCCCCCATTCAGGCTGTGAGATGGTCCCAAAAAGCTGGGCCCTTTAGGGTTAAAGGGAAGATACAACATTTGCAAACATCACAAAACGAAATGATCAAATAATCACGAAATACCTCACTTGATTGTTAGGGAATGACAGTCTAAAGCATCCTGTAAAATTGTGGCTCCTGGTGTGCTGTCATTTTCAAGAAAAATGGTATTTTTCCAACGCTGGTCGGCCGACCAGCGTTGGAGAAAACTGGCTTTTTTCAAAAACTGCTGCTAATTTTTGATTACACACCTGTGAAGGGGTACAAGCCTGCTAGACTGAAGTTCTCTGACCTTACAGTTTCCTAAAGTCACGATTGCTCCGTTTCATCTAAAGTGGGGTCAGGGAACCAGACTACAAGAACATGATTGGTTTTCATGGTTTTTCCAGCATCTACAAGCCCAAAACGTGAAACAAGTCATTTCGACAATATTTGCTATAACATACTAATCCTCCAAATCCATTGATTTCTGAAAATTGCAGCAAAAGCAAATGTTGTACATTCCCTTTAAGATGAGTTCAAATAGGTTCTTATATCATTGCATCTGTAATGTGTATTTCCTGCAGGTACATGGAATGCAATCAGGCTGTGACTCGTGTCAAACGGGCCGAGGTGCATCAGATCGTGCTACAGCTAGATGTGCTGCAGGGCAGGTTGGAAAGGTAGGTGGCTGGACGAACTCCACGCAGGAACAGGAGACGCTGGTGATTGACCCATTTAACTTTACTTTTTGTCAACTCAATGTGATTACTCATTGAAAGAAATCAAGGAGGTTCATTTTTTACATTTTGGGAATATTACATGTGTATTAAACAGGTTCGCGGTCCCTTTACTGTCCTTCGGACTTCAAATGTAGGGACCGGTAGCGGGCAATGAATCCTGGAGGAACTCCACCAGGTGTATGTAAATTAGCCTCGGTCTGATTCCTGGCCCCAGGATACAAAATCACAACGATAATGTAAGCGCGGCACCAGCCTATTCCGAAAATGACGACAAGGCTGTCGCTAATGCGCAGTTTGTGTGGTGATGAGTTTCGAAATTTCGCTGAATTTGAAAGCGTCTCTGGTAACTTTCAATAAAAAGAGGGGCACTGCGTTTCAGTATTTGAAACCTATGCAGTTGAAATGCTTGCAAGCTGCCTTCGTGGGGACACCATGGCAATTTTACTTACTGGTTATGGTAAGAGTCAGTTTTTTCATAGCCACGTGTTCAACTGTCATCCATGCGTGAGAATGTAAACATCATTTTCAAAAATAAAAAAATCATACTGCGCATGCACAGAGGTTATCCAGTCAAAGGCTTTACATAAAAACTAGCCACCGATCCCCATATTATGGGAGCGGGCATGAAAAACTCAAAAAGGCATATAGGATAATTTGTTTTTCTTGCATTTTGCTCTTTTCCAATAATTACACCATTCATAAAAATCCAAAGAAGAATGTTCAAAACCCAACTCTTATTTTTAGTTTCATCTCGGTGGTTGTTACACTTTTCGAGAAAACAGTGGACATGTGTGCATAACCTTTGGATCGTGAAACACGATTTCGTCCATAGCACTCTTTATATCCCAAAATCAGTCAAGTGACTGATCATTGGAAAGAACCTACATTTCTTGATTTGTTCTAAATGACAGCAACCCAGACAGAATAATTTCACCAGGTGTTTAGTACCAGTAGGATCTTTCATCCAAGTAAGCTTTTTAATAATAATTTCGTAGGTTACTTTTGGGATAAATGCAAACGATCTTATACCTTTAAGTAAAGTTAACAACATTTAAGTTGGGGATCTTGGTTGGTGTAGCGGTACTTTCCTCGCCTTCCACCACTGTGACCCGGGTTCAAATCCCGCCTGGGTCAATATGTGGATTGGGTTTTCAGTCCCTACCTGATTCCGTGGGTTTTCCTCAGAATACTCTTCTGGGCTTTTCCTCCCACATCTAAAACTGTAATTTCTTCACATTGTCTTCTCTTTACTGGGACCCATGGGGGATCAGTGGATTCCACTGAATGGGCTACCCAGTTAAAATAAGAAATAAATAAATAAATCTTACTTGCTTCTTTTGTGCCACTTGCTCTTGTCATTGTTGATGATTGATATCCTGGATATTCTTTAGGTATCTGAACTACGGCTCAGGACCCAAGCGTTTCCCCCTGCAAGACGTGCTGCAGTACGCCCTGGAGTTTGCCCACAGTACGTCCCCGGAGAATAGTCCCCCGCGCCGAGCCGTGCCGCTGTCGTTAAATAACTCCAATATACAGGACGTGGAGATGGCATCCCCGCCGCGGTCGCTGACTGGTAGTCCGCATTCCTCAGGGTAGGTCAGGGGTCCAGACGACACTCCAGACTAATTTTCAATTGGAAACTAACAAATAGTAGACCAATCACGGCTTGATTTAAATGTATGTGTATGTGCAACATGCGTTCATAAATTTGAGGCGTCCTTGCAAAATAAGACGGAATGGGCACAGGCTGAAGTGGACAAAAATGCAAAAAAAAAAATTAGTGGGTATTATTTTTTTTTGTGATTTTGAGAGTGATTGATATTTGTAATCTTTGATATGTCTACTACAAAGAAATAGTATAAAATTTGTGGAACAGATGTGTTTTTAAGGAAACACATTTGGCATCTTTCATATCGTCGGTTGCACCACGAACCGACGTATCGCATTTTTTTGTGTTTCGAGAAAAACCGATTTAAAGTTTGTCATTATTTTGTAGGCTCATTCCATATACTCCCTGTGTAAGAATTCAAGCTGTTTCGTTTTTGCTAGTAAATTATAGATTTAACTTTATTGTATGTTATCCGTGTGCATCTGAGTTGCTTAGTTTTTGAGAAATTAAGTTCCAAAGTTATTCGTCACTTCATGAAACAGATTTTTTATCATGTTTATCGTATGTCATACAACGCGCGTAATAGTAGCCGTGTGCCAGATACGGAGATACGCCGGTTTGTGAAATGCTAAATTCCAATTTTTCATGTCGACGCTCTTTTGTGACGTCATAGCACTATGGGAATTAGCGTGTAAAGCGGCGTATCGGGATACGCCACTTCGTGGTGCAGCATTTTTCATTTTTTAGAGATACGCCACACAGTCTAATTACGGTAGCGTCCTTAGTTAATTAGAATTCCGATCGAAATAAAACTTTCTGAGAGTGAGAACTTTGATGAAATAATAACGTTAATGACAAAAACTCAATTTGGCAAAAAATCGAGATACGCCGGTTCGTGATGCGATCGACGATATTCATGGCTACAAACCTCGAATCAACTTTAAAGGCCTTTTTCTCAGTATTGTACTTTTTTGACGTATCATAAATGAAAACTTTAACCCTCCTATGTAACGTGCATTCTGAGCCTTGTTATTACTGGGGTCAATATGGGTCAAGTGACCCTTGGTTCGTTAAGAGTATGCCAGGGGGAGAGGAAGGACATTTTGACCATCTGTGACTTTTTGGCATCTTTCATATTCATGACTACAAACCTTGAAACAACTTTCATATCCTAGATTTTAAAAGTGCTACATGCAGAACTTCACTGAAACAGTAGTCCCAACATTTTTGTTTTTGTTATTTTTACTCACCCTGTAAGTTGTTTTCTGCTGTCACATATTTCTTGTTTCTCGGAACCTTGGCTTTCTCTTTGGCTTCAGAGAAACTGCCAAGGTTTGCATAACCCCAACTTTGTTTCAGTCATCTGCAATGGGCTTACTGAAATAACCGTTTTTATTTTACATACCAATTTAGTTTCAGTCCAGACCGGAAGCCCCATACCTCAGCTCCGGTGCAAGACGTGGCCATGTCGTCCCCATCGTCTGTTCCCCACTCCCCCTCCACCTCCACGCTACCCACAGCAAACCCCTCACCAAAGCACATCACGGACACGGAGCTGGACATTCTGCAGGGCTGCCTGCGACGCTGGAGAACAGAGGTCGTGTCGGATGTCAAAGGTCAGGAAAAAATACAGAGATTTGGGGAAGGGGGGAAGGGGGGGAGGGGCAAACCTAAGATTTGTCTTGGGGTTCTGCTTTATCAGATGCATTCACATTGTCACACCCCAGCTATACCATTGGCCCCAACTTAAAGTTGTTTTCACAGTGTTTTTTAACAAATTCAATTGTTTGTTTGAAATTTTCTAAACATATGTTTTATTCAAACAAAAAAATTAGCCACTTTTCCTTTTTCGGACGTCTGCAACCATCTGTAAAAGGTTTTTTATTGTGCGAGCAGACTGGTTTCCTGTATGTACAGTGTAACGCCGCTATAACAAACATCGCGGGATCCACAGAAAATGTTCGTAGTAGTGATCGTTCGGTATAGCGATTTTAAGCTGCCGGTGCTCCGGAACTCACTTTTCAATAAATGGCGCCCTTCATAACTTCACCGTGCACGCCCTGGTAGTTACTGAAAGACGACTTCGAACACGTGCCGACTATTGAATTATGTAATTACACAGTTTTGAGCTTACTACCTACATCGATGGGTGGCTTTCCCCTTCTATGCCTTGGGGAAATAATAGCCACTTGTCGCTCTTCTGTTGACGGTTTTCAACAACAATGTTCGGTTGGTTTTGTACACAAAAATCGGGAGCCAAGGACAAGGTTTGGTATAGCCGAATGTTCGGTATAGCGGTGTTCGGTATAGCGACGTTCCACTGTACTTTATATCAATACTGATTGTTGAGGGGGGTAACTGTTTTTCATAATTTTAAACTTAATCATGGTCGCATTAAAATACCTATAAGGGCAGGTTCTTATTTCACGCGAATTCGAAGCGAATATGTCGTCACGAACATACGCTGTCACAAATTCATACTTCAAAATTTCATAATTTCAAATTCATAATTCATACTTCAGGCCAAGTATGAGTCGGCCTTAACAAGCTTCATGTAATGCAAGAAAATTTGCAAATTTAGTTTGAAATTTCAATTTTTTTCAGGAAGCCCCTGCCCCTTAACAAACCCTCACAGACATTATGACTTCAACAATTTCCCGATCTTCTTCTTGTACAGATTTACAGGACAAAGTCACAACCCTACAAAACCTCAAAGATAACGTCTATCAAGATGAACACCTCAGAAATGTAAGAACTGCACCTACGGGTATAATTCGGGCGATTCACAATGCAGTGCGCCACCAAGAGTTTGCCACAGAGAGTCCATTTTTCAAGTTTACAGTCGACAAAACATGGCCCATTTGAATGAGTGTCGGTAGACAACTTGAGCTAATATGTCATAGATTGGGGCATAGCGTTCTGCCGCCTTTCAAAAAACACCATGTTGATAACAAGAAAAGAAATGGGCAAACAGAGCCTCGAATCATATGCTTACAAAACCACTGACTGGAAAAACTAACAATTTCAAATGTCCCACGCTGCGAATTTGTCAACCATCTCCCACAATGCACTGGGAAAAATGAACTCTCCGTGGCAAACTCTTGGTGGCGCACTGCATTGTGAATCGCCCAAATTGATAACCAGGCCAGGTGAAATGGTTACCACCTGGAGTATTCAAAAGCTAGATTTTGGGCATTTCCAAGTGCATTTTTTATCAGTTCATTTTTGTGTCCGATTTTGGCTTCAACCGTTCAGCAAGTTTTTTGCGTTGGAGAATTATTATTCAGTCGCCCACGGTTATGAAAGGGTTAAACTCGTTTCCAATTTTTAATCCTGTTGAAAAATGTTGACCAGCTAACCCTGGCCAGTTCAGTGGTTGAGTGGTTAAGATACCTGCACTAGTTAACAGACGTTGGCTGTTTAGTCCCACCTGAGCGAGCTTTTATGTGACCGGCTCCACAAAAAAGGGTATTATGTTGCAAAAAGGTGAAATAGAGTTTTTATGGTGGAAAGCCCACAACGTAAGCTTTCACTTGGTGTATAACGGAGCTCCAAAGCCCCTCCCGTTCTGGAGATATGAAGTATTTGCATATTAATTAGTTCCTTGAGTTCAAATTGCACAACTGAGTAAACAGGCTTTGAAATAGCTGGCTTTGTTATAGAACATTAGAACGATGCACACAAAATGGTTGTTTTTTCCACTTTGTTCATCAAAATCAACATTTCTGTGAAAGAAACCTGAAACTGTAGGTACTAAATGACAAAAAATGAAAATCACATTTTGACGATGTTCACCCTCTCAATGTTGAGCGTGCCATTACACAATAATGCTCAGCGCGACTTATCCTTTTCTGTAGAGCCGGTCACATATTTTTTTCTTAAGCTCTCTGAAAGTACTGAGCTCAGTGTACATCATGACATCTGTATAAAGGACAAAATCAAACATTACGATTTACATTACTGCAGTGTAAAAGATCCATCAAAGCTACTGGTTCGTATGAAGTTTGAATTTTCAAAACGAAAAAAGTCTTGGTAATCTTGGTAGGGTTTTGTTGACTGTTGGATTCAGCAATGTCGGACTTGATCTGTTTTAACTGGTTCCCTCCAAACGCAGCATGAGTACCAGCTGCACGCCGTCTTGGTCCACGAGGGGCAGGCCTCGGCAGGCCACTACTGGGCCTATGTCCTGGACCACCAACGCAACGTCTGGCTCAAGTTCAACGACATCTCGGTCACGGAGGTCGCATGGGGGGACCTGGAGCGGGAATCAGTCGGTGGGTCCGGTAACACCAGCGCGTACTGCCTGATGTACGTCGATGCCAAAAGGCGCGACCTGTTTGAAGGTAGGCTGTTGATGAACATCTTCTCGTATACAGGGTTCCGACAGTCATGAAAAAAATCTTGGAATTTAGAGCTATTATGGAAAATCATGGAAAAGTCAAGGAATTTTTTTTTTTTTTTTTCCACGTCATATCTTGGGTTTGATTCCCACCCGATTTTACCCAAGCAAACTTGTGTTTACCTCTGAAGGTCTCGGAAAGCACTTAGTATTCAGTGCAAACATTCCATGCAAGTCAGTGAAGTGCCAAACCCAGTATCGAACATTTTCATCAGTCTGAAGCAAAGTTGGGAGGCAATCTGTCAAAACGAGCCTTAACTGGGCACAGGACGTAGTGAAGAACAATGCAGGTTTTAGATTTATTGATATCTTTGATATGTACACTACACAGATCTTAAAGAACTATTTAAAAATCGTGGACTAAAGGTGTTTTTAAGGAAAAACAATTGGCATTTGTCATTTTCAAACTACAAAACTTCAAATTTTAAAGGCCTTTTTCTCAGTACTTTACTTTCTTGACATATCGATAAATGCGAACTTTAAACAGCCATAATTTGTCAACGGAGTTTCTGATTTAAATGCAACAAACAATATTGTAAGGAGATTTTATTCTCTTTCCCAGTACCTGAAAATGCCCTGCCTGGTTCTGTCTCATTTTACCAGAACGCCTCACAATTATGTCCAGAAGTTCTTGTAACAAGTTAGGGTCCGTGACCATTCAGCCCTGGTATGAAAAGGGCCCCCCGGTACCTCGTCCGGTCCAAAGCCAGTCCGGTCTTCAGCCCAGTCTCGTCCGGTACATGGTCCTGTCTGACCAGAAGTTTTGAAGTCAGTCAGGCGCATCAATTTATTGCCCTTCAGAGAACGTCCAGAGCAGAACAATAGCAGATTTACCGGATTAAAGACAAAATCCTTCCAAACGCCTTTTTAATTTACGGTCCCATTGTGCGCGAAACCGCATGGCAGGGGTTTTGATCTGTGCCGACGAAAGTGTTCTATTGTTGCACGCTGAGAGATGAAAACCACAAGCAGGTTTCTTCTGGGACATATTACATGTGTCAATACTTGCAAACAATAGACCCCAGGATAGAGGAGTTCCTGATTAGCAACCGGACCAGCTCCTGGGCCGGTAGCTGGGACGGTACGAAAGGACTTCTTGGGAGGGGACGAGCTTACCGTGGGGCCCTTTTCATACCGGGGCTGAATGGTCACGGTCTCTTAGTGACCCCTTGAACCCCATGAGCAACATGCTACATTTGAAGGCAGCTTTATTATATAGAGAACACTCACTTTTCCGACAGAGCAAGAAGACGACGAGACGGGACACAGCAGCCTCAGTCTGGACCCCCTGGCCGACGACCTGAAACAACTGGTGACTGATGACAATACGCGCTTCGAGCTTGAGATCAGACAGTGGGACGAGGCGAAAGAAAAGAGAAAAACCAGCCGAGTTGCCAATGCTGCCACCTCCACCAATGAGGACAAGGTGGTGTACCTGGGAGAGAGTAAAGCACTCGCATCAGGTATGGGTATTTCAATTAAAGGGTATAGTCCATTATTTGTAATTTGTGCATTATGTTCGTTTGAAACAACAAAAGTGCTCAAAATCTAAGAAGGGTTCTGAACAACTAACCTGATGAATTTTCAGCTCAATGAATGCTGTATATTCCGAGAAAACAATATTTTAGGATCTCGATTTCAAATCAAACGTTGCTGAATCATGCTATGAATTGGCCCTGAATTGAGCGTCCGAGACACGTTCTCACTAGCCGATTGCAGCTACGCGATGTCGCGCACTGATCCGACGAATTAGAGCAACCACGCGCGCGGGTGCGTCGTGTCAACGCTTGCGCGCGCTTCGCCAAATAAAAAAAAGACTGCTAATGGAAATTTCCATTGAAAGACCTTCCTTCATTGTTTTCTTCAAAATGACAGCTTGCCAGAACGAATAATTTCACAGGGAGTTTAGTCCCATTATTATCTTTAAACCAAATATGCTTTCAACAATAATTTAATACGTCAGTCACTTTTTAGATTGCTGCAAATGATAGACTATTGCTTTAACCTATCTTGGTAGAATCGCGTCAATGCAGCTTGTAAAATTTTGTCCAGTTACATGATACACAAATGGAACGCACAAAATCTGCTACAAACCAAACATAACGTACAAAATTCTATGGGGTTGTCTAAGGGGCGCGGCTAACTCGCAAACGGCAATAGGTCAATTGTTTTGGAGGGTGTGGTATAAGTGATGGAGGACTCACATCCTGACTTGGACTGCAGTCCGGACTCGAGTCCATTTTTTTTTTTTTGGGACTCGTGACTCAGCTTTGTCTCGTGGCTTTTGGACTTGGCTTAACTCGGTCTCAGTTAGTGGCTGACTCTGACTAGCTGTCGCACTTGAATCGAGTCCATTTCAAAAAATTGTGTTTAAACTTGGGAAGAAAAAAAAATTGGTTTTAAAAACATGACCACAACATCAAGTTTGTGACAGCAAGTTTAGAAACTTTTGGTACTTTTGACGTCTAGGAGTCAAGAAGAACACGCCCCAGCCTCGGCCCGCATCCCCTGCCACCGTCTACCCTGCTGAGCGTCCGTTGTCGGCTGCTGTACCAGACGTGTCTGTCCCCGCACGCGGCCCCAGCTCCTATGTTGCTCCATCATCTGTGGCGTCACCATCGGCTGCATCGCTGTCGTTGGAGAGCATCAGCTCGGAGCATGACGCCGAGGCAGCGCTGGATCAGGTAAAACCATACAGCTATGTTAATCCTTACCCTGCCGGACGCAACACGGTGCATCAGGTGGAAAAGTCTGGTGCACTTTGATGCATTCAGCTACCAACACCAGTGCATGAACGGCCGCTTCTGGGACAATGAGAGCTAGTCCCATTGAACAATACCACAGTTGTGCAGCAGTTGGCAACCATGGACTCTGAGGCAGTTTGGCCTTGAGATGGATGGTACCATATTTCAATAAGGGGGCGCTGTTCAAAATCGTCGATTATTAACACTAAAGTACAGAACGGTGTACCGTATTTTGAACAGGCGGACATTATACCAGTATAATTTTTTTTGGGGTGTCACAGGGAGGGTTTTGACTTATTTTTTTTAGGAATTTGTATGATAATTTTTTTTTTTTGACAGAGCTGGGGGGGAGGGGGTTTGACCACCAAAACCCCCCCTCTGGATCCGCACCTGCCCTTGGTCAAATTTGTTTCCTCTAATTTCAATATATATTATGAACATGCACTTGTAATTGAACTTTACATTTCCCTGATGAAAGAAAAATCATTGAAAGTTATCAACAACGAGGTTTCGCCTTGCCCGCTGTACAGGGGAGGCAGCTTCTCCACCTGTTGCCCACTTTGCTGCCTGTTTCCCCCTTTGCTGCCTGTTTCCCCCTTCGGCGCCTCTTGCCCCCTTTCAAAGGCAATCAACTCGTGAACGATCAACTGTGAAAAAACTTGTATAGCGGGGATAATATGTGACCTGTCATAGCATAATGAGGAATAACCCCCACCTTTGACTTTTCACGTTATGTACATCATGTTTAAAAAAACGGCTTTGAAAAAAAAAAAGTTGCGCCACCAACAGCAGTGAAAAACGTTCTTCAGTTTTTCCACTTTTGTGGGTATTTTTTCCCAACAAAAATGCATAGTGTGAATCTTGGATACCTTGGCTACTCAAAAATACAAAACAATCAAAAACACTGTTCACATGATTTTCCTAGTATATCTGACTTCAGGCGTCGATTACTCAAAACAAGGTTTTGGGGGACATTCCTCATTTTGCCTCAGTAGGTCACACATGACACTTTGAACTTACCAGGTATGTTCAGAAGAGGTGCAGCGATATCGCGCACTGCTGGCCAATGAGCAGTGCCAATTGAGGGACGTGCGTCTGGAGAGCCCTGTGGCGTACTATCTGACGAACAGCGCCCCCAGGGTCCTTATACGACGAGCCGTCCTGGAGCAGTTTGCTGCCGAAAAAGGGACAAACGTGGACGTGCGGTAAGTTGTGAGGAAATAGGTCTCATACATGCCAGAAAAAAAAACCTGATTTAGTACAAATTTGTAGAGTTGTAGTAACCTTGTCCCCACGACGTCGAGCAGTACACTCCCACTAGCTTCTGACTTGCTTGGGCACTGGATCAATGGCATATCCAGAAATCTGGGATGTTACAATTAGGTTGAGTAGTCGGGTGCCTTTACAATACCGCAAGTTCATGTTCGTTTTGGTATGTGGTGTCTAGGGTGCAGGCTTTTAAGCGATTCGTTGCGATCAGGTCGGAAAACACATCATTTTCAAAATCGCTGTGGAAGGATAATCTCACACAACCAATAAAACACGCTAAATATGACAGTAAGCGAAACAGAAAGGGGAGAGATCTTTGTGTGTAGGAGACATAACTAAGATCATTTGCATGTCTTGCATTTTATTCATTTCCAATAATAACAACACCACTCAAAATCCAAAGACGAATGTTCAGAACCTAACCTGTTGAAAGTTTCAGCTCTGTGGCTCTTACACCTTTCCAGAAAACAGGTGAAAAGCATGGACAACCTTTTGATCACGAAAGCATGATTTCGTCAATAGCGCTCTTTATTCCGAAAAAAAAATCAGTCAATCGACTGACCCTGGGAAATCACCCACATTTCTTGTTTTCTTGAAAATGACATTAAGCCAGACGGAATAATTTCACAGGGCGTTTAGTACCAGTACGATCTTTAATCCAAGTAAGCTTTGTGATAATAATTGGTAGGTTACTTTTTGGATAAATGCAAATGATCTTATACATGTATGCCTTTCAAGTCATTTGACTGCCGTCGATGGGTGTTACATTTGTATCGTTTCAGATCACAGGCGTTAAGGGGAATAGCTCAGCGCAAGTTGGACAGTCAAGCCAGGTCACAGCAGGAGCAGGATATATACAGTTTATGGCAGGAAGACTACAGCGTGTTCTGCAAGGCCAACACGTACTTCATTCAGGGAATTCAGTCGTACTTCCAGCAGGAGCAGTGAGTATCAAATGAGCCCACAATCAGCCATCTCAAAAATATGGGTATAATGTGAGTAAAAAAAAATGAAACCCCAATGTCCATTGTTTTAGTGAAGCTGTGCATGGAGCACTTTCAAAATCTAGGATATGAAAGCCCAATTCATAAGCTTTCTTTTAGTACAAGAATAAATCAAATCACTCATGTAATTTTCAAGTTACGGAATTTTAAACACAATCACCGTTTTAAAGTTATGTCCACGGATCACAAAAAGGTAAGTGTTCTTTTCAGCAAAAACAAAAACAAAATCACATAGGGATGTGTGTGAATTTTTTTTCCTTTTAGCTGAAAGAACGCACATACGTATGACCCTCAGGACAAGGAAAATGCTATTTGGCGATTGAAGTTGCTGGTGTGGAAAGATTCCATACGCTATAACGAGTCGAGGTTAATCGCGAAAAAAATCTATTTGGATTACAGATATGGGTATCAGGAGGCGTTGCCACACTTTGTCCACGCCTGCAACATGAACGACAAGTTTATCGACGAGAAAGCAGGGAAGGCCATGGACTTCAACATGCTGGCTCACTTTAGGAGGCAGTGCTTACTGGTGAGTTGGTTTATCCAAAGATGTACGGACTCCGTAGACAAGTACTCCTTGATCAATTCGTCGGTCGCACCACGAACCAGCGTATCTCGATTTTTTGCCAAATTGAGTTTTTGTCATTAACGTTATTATTTCATCAAAGTGCTCATTCTCAGAAAGTTTTATTCCAATCGGAATTCTAATTAACTAAGAACGCTAATTAGACTGTGCGGCGTATCTCTAAAAAATGAAAAATGCTGCACCACGAAGTGGCGTATCCCGATACGCCGCTTTACACGCTAATTCCCATAGTGCTATGACGTCACAAAGCAGCAAAGACATGAAAAATTGGAATTAAGCGTTTCACGAACCGACGTATCTCTGTATCTGGCACACGGCCACTATTAAGCGCGTTGTATAATATAGAATAAACATGATAAAAATCTGTTTCACGAAGTGACGAATAACTTTGGAGCAGAATTTCTCAAAAACTTAGCAACTCAGATGCACACGGATTGCATACAATAAAGTGCAATCTATAATTTACTAGCAAAAGCGAAACAGCTTGAATTCTTACACAGAGAGTATATGGAATGAACCTACAAAATAATGACCAACTTTAAATCGGTTTTCTCGAAACACAAAAAAATGCGATATGTCAGTTCGTGGTGCAACCGACGAATTGCTACAAAGAGAGAATATGACAGTCACTTGCTCATTTGCAGTCGGTTTGTCCAGGGGTGAATACCACTTTTGGCCAGTCAGTCAGTCAGTTTGTTGACTCAAGAAGGCATGGCTTGAAACGAGCACGATGCCTGACATGCCACACGTCATGGTCGCCCATACAGGATGAGTAAAAAAAACGCAACCCAAATGTTGGGACCATTGTTTTAGGGAAGTTCGGCGCGTAGCATTTTCAACATCTATGATATGAAAGCCCTATTTATAAGCTTTCTTTCAGTGCAAGAATCATTCCAATCACTCATGTACTTTTCAAGTTACAGAATTTTAAACACAACCACCGTTTTAAGGTTCTGTCCATGGATTGCAAAAAAAGTTCAGTGTTCTTTCAGCAAAACGAAAACAAATCACATAGGGATGTGTGTGATTTGTTTTCGTTTTGCTGAAAGAATGCATACCTTTTTGGTGATACGTGGACAGAACCTTAAAACAGTAGTTGTGTTTAAATTTCCGTAACTTGAAAATTACATGAGTGATTTGAATAATTCTTGTACTAAAAGAAAGCTTATGAATGAAGCTTTTATATACTAGATTTTGAAAGTGCTACATGCAGAACTTCAATTAAAACAATAGTCCCGACATTTGGGTTTCTTTTTTTTTTTTTACTCACCCTGTACAGCTTGTCAGCCCTTCCTTGGTCTCGACTGCTGCTTTTGGGCAAGAGAGCCTGAAATACGCCATTTTGTCCTCGCGCAACCCGCGTATGAGCGTTTTACACTGGCTTGCCCTTTCTCTTGCTATAATTTCTCTTAAGAAATCAATGTACCAAAATTAACTGCAATTGATAGAATTTTGTGCACGATAATATTCCTATTCAAGGGGTCTGGAAGCGCGCCTCTAGTGGTGAATTTTCTGGCTCTATTCACAAATCATTACACAAATCAGTTTCACAAATCAGTTTCACAAATCAGTTTGAGTCCGGCAGCATATTGGTGGCTGTGCTAGCATAAGGATGGATGTTTGCACATCACCAGAATCCTTATTCCTGAGGTATCCGGTCCACATCCCGCTCCACTCATTTTTATTCGCCCTTTTTATATTTGATAGCAACTTAATGCCCAGTGCACCAACCAGTTTGAATCCGCCGAAGTCTCGGAGGCTCTGCAGAGTCTGGAGATCATGAACAATCTGGTGGTACCGTGCACCGGGATTCTAACCAGCTCCTCCACCGAGGAAGACGGGGCTGCCGCAGAGGAGATCCGAGGAGGATGGTGTAATTACCTGAGCCGGGAAGTCAGCAGTGAGTTCACCATAGTTTGCTGTGCAAATTTAATGTACAGATAAGGGGAAAATGCCAAATCAAACAGGCAGTAGCCCGAGGTTTATGTTGAAATTTACGTTGAGGTTTACGTCGAGGTTCACTTTGAGGTTCACTTTGAGGTTTACTTTGAGGTTCACTTTGAGGTTCACTTTGAGGTTTACCTTGAGGTTTACCTTGAGGTTTACCTTGAGGTTTACCTCCTGGTTTACCTTTAGGTTTACCTCCTGGTTTACCTTGAGGTTTACCTCCTGGTTTACCTTGAGGTTTACCTCCTGGTTTACCTTGAGGTTTACTTCCTGGTTTACCTTGAGGTTTACCTTGAGGTTTAACTTGAGGTTTACCTCCTGGTTTACCTTGAGGTTTACCTGGAGGTTTGCCTCGTGGTTTACCTTGAGGTTTACATTGAGGTTTACCTTGAGGTTTTACGGTGTTTTACAGGGTTTTATGGGGTACCTCGAGTAAGACCTGGAGTTGCCGCTTGTTTAATTTTGCATTCTCCCCTAAACCCCAACCATCGATGGTATTCTGGCTAGAAACCCTGCTAAATGCAGCAGCATCCAACACTTGTCAAAATGACTAGCCTGCCCAGTGTGGCAAGATCCATCAGGGCAAACATCTCAAGGCTAAAGTGCCTCAGAGTCTGGGAGCAACAACTGCAGTGAGATACATGTACAACTGTGGCATTGTTCAATGGGACTCGCTCTCATTGTCTCAACACTGGCAGTTAATACACTGGTGTTGATGTCTCAGTGCAGCAAGGTCCCACAGACTTTTATACCTGATGCACTGTATTGCGTCTGGCAGGGTGAGGGTTAATGCGGTGGCCACAATTAAACACAGGACTGAGGGCACAAGCAAAGTACAGAGGTCATACATACATGTACACCGTCTGTATGCCCCTTCAACCAACAGCCTGCTTACAAATTGCTAACGCACAAGAATCCTCGTTTAAATTATGAATAATTTTATTATTTATTGTATTTATGTATTTCTTATTTTAACTGGTCTCCCATGGGGCCCAGTAAAGAGCAGACATTATGAAGAAATTACAGTTTAGAGGTGGGAGGAAAACCCCAGAAGAATATTCTGAGGAAAACCCACAGAATCAGGCACGGACTGAATACCAAATCCATATATTGGCAAATATACCCGATCTTGTCATGTCTTTGAAGAGCATTGACGATTTTGTCGGCATAAAAGGGACCCCTTTTTAATGAGGGGGATTTTTGGTGTGTGCAGGGGGAACCAGCATGAACACAATCATACCAACCATAAGTTCAAACCCTTATTTCTAGACCAACAAACAGCCTGAGTGTTAATCTGCCGTTTCTTTTCCCACTCAGGCGATCTGCACGAGAAATTCCAGGACTTTCTATCGAAGCTCCTGGACATGTCATCCGAGCCGACAAGCATCAGAGCCCCGCCCCTTGTCCACACTCAGAAGAAGGAGAACCTGAGTCAGATGTTTACTGTCGCCATGGGCATGATTATTAGCAATGATCAGCTGTCGGACACAAGATGATCAGCTGACAGACACCTGATGATCAGCTGACAGCCATGTGATGATCAGCTAAAGGACATGTGACGATCAGCTGAAAGAGACGTGTTGATAAGCTAGTATGGACAGGTGATGATCAGATCAGCTGATGGACACTTGATGATCAGCTGATGGGAATGTGATTATCAGCTGATGGACATGTGATGATCAGCTGACGAACATGTGATTGTTGGCAAGCAAACAGATGGTAATCAGCTGACAGCCAGGTGATGATCTGCTCATCATGACCTAAAGTTAGACAAACCTGTGGTTCAGCAAATCAGGAAATCAACCCAAGAAAAGGACCATAATTTACAGTAGCATCGTGCTCAGTAAACCTCGAACCCTAAGGCTAGTAGTATGATCTGTTGTCAAAGGAGTGATGATTTGATCAGTATGGGCTGAATCTAGGGGGAAAAACATGATGTGGTCGAATAACCTGTAGAATTTACCATGTACCAAAACCAGCATCTTACTTGTAACTCTGTTACCCCAAAACTGTGACCTGCAAAACTGATCAGCTGGCAAACATGTGATGATCAGCTGGCAAACATGTGATGATCTGCTGACAAGCATGTGATCGTCTGCTTATCGTGGGCTTATGATTAGACGTGAACATTACGGTCCAGTGAAACACCCAGCATTGCATAGTGGATACGTCAATCATTCACAACAGTGCCTTGTTGACATAGTTCAGTTGTCGTAGCTATATGTGACCCGTCACCACAAAGTGAGCCAAAAGTCAAAGTTTTTAAGAATTGAGATATTTACATCTCTGTATTCTGCAGAACAAGAGTTTTCCCAGTGTGATGTAACTTTAAGGGGCACTGAGTTCGGTAATGGAGACAGTAAACTTACTTGAAGTTGTAAAACTGATTCTTGAGAAAATGGCATTTAAAATCCTGCAGTTGTGTTACAGTGAATAAAAACAAACAAAATCGGTTTTAAAGGGAAAATACAACATTTGCAAACATCAAAAAATAAAACTAAAAATAAAAATATAAATCATTTTGAAATACCTTGCTGGACTGTTAGTGAATGACAGTGTAAAGCATCCTGTAAAATCATGGCACCTGGTATACTGTCATTTTCAAGAAAAGTGGTATTTTTGTATCAATTTCCAACGCTGATCGGCCAACCAGCGTTGGAAAAAACTGGCTTTTTTTCAAATACTGGCCCCAGTTGACCATTGCACTTGTTTGCAATCGATTACACACCTATGAATGGGTACGAGCCAGCTAGACTGGTTCCCTGACCTTACAATTCCCAAATATATGTAAACTGCTCTGTTTCTTTTTAAATGGAGTCAGGGAACCAGACTACAGGAAAATCATTGTTTTTCTTGGTTTTTATAGCATTTTCGAACCCAAAACCTCAAAAAAGTCAGTGTAACTATATTTGCTATATTTCCAACCCCCCAATTCCATCATTTTTGAAAATTACAGCAAAAGCAAATGATGTATATTCCCTTTAAAGATGTTTGACAGAATGAACCAAACTGGAGAAAAGTACAACGGGACTGATCAAGGTTCACCTGAAAACAAGAAATCGACCACCCCTTTGAATTTTTGCCTTTTTGAACTGTGCTAAAAAAATGGCAATTTCCAACTTCATGGTGACAGGTCACATAATAGGCATGATCTGTAATAATTATGATTATAGTGACGTTAACCCTTGGTCCAGCCAGATACTGTGTGCTTTGGACCAGTACCTGAATAAAATGATGCCTAGCTCCAAAAAAAACAAAACAACCAATTGTAGCGGTCGGCATCATTTTTTTGTGAAAGGAATAACTTGAAAAACCCATGGTCTAGCCAAATACCGGTAACACAGGTTTGGGCATCAGTAAATGTTAGAATCTAGTGGGAAACTCTAAACATTATAGCCATGGCAGTAAGCAATATGTTTTAATTAGTCATAAGCTGACAAACACACTGTGGTCTTCCAAAATTGTCCATGGGTTTAATTACATACATCGTAATCCATTCAGAGGGCATGTACATGTACCCCATAGAGTAGACTCAAATATTTCCTTAAGTACACTATGGACTCAACGTATCCTATAGATTAAGAGCACCCTATAGAATGAAAGTTCCCAAATACATGTACTTAAAATAACCCACAGATTAAAAAAATTCCCTTAAACTTGATATTCCCCCCCAAAAAACTCAAAATATCCCAAAGACTCAAACTACCTGATAAACTTAAAGGGAATGTACAACATTTGCTTTTGCTGAAATTTTCAGAAATAAATGGATTTGGCGATTAGGATGTTATAGCAAATATTGTTAAACTGACACGTTTCAAGTTTTGGGCTTGTAGATGCTGGAAAAACCAAGAAATCCAATCATGTAATTTGTATTCTTGTTTTCTGACCCTACTTAAGATGAAACACGGCAATTTATAGACTGGGGGGAAGTGTTAAATCAGAGAATCAGTCTAGCAGGCTTGTACCCCTTCACAGGTGTGTGATCAATTGCCAAGAAAATGCAGAATAACTAATATGAAAAATTAGGAGCAGATTTTGAAAAAAAGCCAGTTTTCTCCAACGCTGGTGGGCCGACCAGCGTTGGAAAAATACAGTTTTCCTTGAAAATGTCACCACACCAGGAGCCACAATTTTACAGGATGATTTAGACTGTCATTTCCTAATAATTCAGTAAGGTATTTCGTGATCATTTGATCATTTCGTTTATTGATGTTTGCAAATGTTGTATCTTCCCTTTAAAAAGAACCCTCATTGAAAAGAAAACTCAAATACGTAATAGAATCGTTATGACTGTGAAAATCCATAATTTTTGTTTGTTGGTTGGTTTGGGTGTTTGGGTGACTAACGAGAGGACTTCAGAATCCCTCCGAAATCTAGCCAGGTTTACCCTTGTATTGTCTGTGCCTATTTCCTTTTGTTACATGCACGATGCAAGTTGCATTACGTTTATATCTTGTGTAATAGTGTACATAATATCCTCACACTAACAACAGACAGAATTAAAGGAGTCGGTTGATTGATTTAATATGGATTTCTCGGCTTGTGGTGAGTTTGTGCTAGCCTCATAAATGTGGCCAATTTACTGGACTACCTCCGTAAATAAAGGCCACACTTCCACCATGTACAAAAACATGTCGAACCTTGTCAAATTTTGATTTTCACATCTAGGCTTAGTTTGTAATAGACATCTGAAAAAGGCAGCACTTTCTGATTAGCCTATAAATTAAAGAGGATGAGTATGCTTCTAAAGCAAATATAAACTACAAACTAAGCCTAAATGTGAAAATCAAAATTTGACAAAATGCGACATGTTTTTGTACATGTTGGAAGTGTGGCCTTATTTACGGAGGTAGTCCAGTAAATTGGCCACATTTATGGGGCTATTTTTGTGCATTCTTAGACAGTGGTATGGTGAGTCTGCATTCTTCCAGAAGTCTTCTGAGAGGTTTCCTTCTTGTGTGACATGTTGAGTTTGATGTATGGGCTCATCGACCGAATTGTGCATGACAGATCATTGCACAAAACAATAACAATTCACAGACATATGTGATTCTTTGAGTCATGTTTGGGAAAAAAAGGACCTGATTTTGTAGGAGAACTGCAGATGTCATGTAACGCGTACGAGACACCATTTTCCACTGCGCTTGAAGTTATCAGGTGTAGTGATTTTCAGGAAGACACTGGTTCAATTTAGGGGTTTTCTGTTCAAATTGTGAACCCAAAACTTCCTGATTGAAAACATTTGTGAGAAAACTTTGCTCATAGGCTCACTATCATGTACTGAAACAACGAATCACCAACGAAAAGAAAATTTACGACTGCAAAATATCACAAATTCTGGCATAAAGTGGTGTTGAAACATTCGTAACTTGCAGGTTTCTGCCTGAAATGAAAACACGCTGGGCCCGTCGCCAGCCCTGAGGGTCAAGGGGGCTATATTACCAACTAAGGGGGAACACTACCATGAAAAATACAAAAATACACATGTATTTGCACCAAAATGCCCTTAAAAATTGCCAAATGAGATTTGAACACAAGGTTAAATGAGGCACAAAAGTGCATGTAAAAGGACTGCGTTAAAACTAGATTACATTGGCCCTTTAAAACCTCGTTAAAACTACAATACACACATAATTATGTACGCTTAAAAAGAGTGGGATATTTACATAACGGGATATCTGAAATGAGCCACGTGTGCAATCCACCGCTCATACCTCTCCTCTAGGCCTATCTGGCTCGTAAGTGTGACGTCACTTCAGTGTAAACCACGCCCCTACTTCACATGAAGTACATGTAGCATGAAAAGTTGCGGGCTTAACCAATGGTTGCTGTAATTAGTGGGGCGTGATTTTGGTTCTGCATTTGGATGTTGAATTGAGGACAATAGGGTTCCCCACGTCCCGAAGGTCCCAAAATGTCAGGCCGAGTGACGCTAATGATTATGCTAATAATCTACCATACGTTATTGTGTTGCTTGGCCGAAATCGGTGCACATGGGTTGGGTCGGGAAAATATTTTTTTTGATCTTCTTCGAAATTTTTCATGGAAATGAATCAAGCTGTAACATGAGCGTCTGCAACAACAGATTAAGCTGAAATTCGGAATATACTTAGATGATGGAAGTATTCAACTACTCGTGAAATAACAACTGGGATAAATTCCTAGAAATTGGGATAAAAACATACTTGGGGGAAGTTTTTGAACGATTTCTTCCAGACTTGCAGGTCAGCTTTGACAGTAACCAGTATTGAGGTTTCGGCATCGATGACGGCGATTTTTCATAGACATGAAGTCTGGAATTTCTTCTTTAGTTGGAATGTAACATTTCAATCATACCAAGCATATCGGCACGTGCTGACAACGTATACTAGTTATCTATCTTCCCACTTAATAAGCCAATTATAACATTCTCTTCCGAATATTAAGTGAAATATTGTAGAGTAATTGTGTAATATTATATCGTTCTGTGTTATCACTAACGATGTTCTTAATACCTCAATCGAAACCATTACAGCTCGGTTGATATTTATAATCGAACGGTTCATACCCTAATTATACAATTTCAAAGGGAGACCGTCCAAAGTGATGCCATCCAAGTTACGCTCAGACATTCTTAGCCACGGGTGCAACACGCCCGACGTTTCAGGGCCTTCATAAACTCCGAGGGTTCTGGGATTTGATCCCAGCGGCAGCGCAAGATACAGCCGAAGACGGCCTTGAAGTCTCGATGCTTGTTGGCATAGATCATCGGATTGAGGCAACTGTTGAAGAAGAGGATGGCAATGGCGTACGGTACAGCTGGCCCAGCGCCGTTTAACAGTAGACACACTAACCAAGGAGATTGGCAGACTAGGAACGCACACACGATGTAGAACATGTTCTTGGTGATCTCATTCTGTCGTCGGTTCATCATGAGAGCTTTACTGACTGATCGTGCGAATCGTGCGCTGTCTGCCGATTGCGTGTTGTCATTAGCAACCCCTCCCTTTTCTTCATCAGTGACTTTGTTGCCTGAAGACTCGTCGGGCTCATTTGAGGCTGAGATCCTCTTGGCGTGGTGTCTCAGATGTCTCCAGATACCTACGTAGCAGGCAATGATGGTGACGAGGGGGACGGGGTACAAGACTGCCGCAATGACGATATTGAAGACACGAGCCAGGGGATGATCGATGAATCCGCAGTGGTGGTACATTCTGTTGAACCCCAGGGCACCCACGCCAAGGAGTGGGGGCAAGAGGACGACAAGAAGTGGGACCAGCCACACGAGTACCAACCACACGGTGATCTTCTTGGCTGTAAAGATGGCCCGATATGTGACGGCTGGTCGCGTTATCAGAAGGTAGCGGTTGAGGCTGACCGATGCCAGGGTCATTATGCTACAACCGACGGTGGTGATGATAATGATCGTTGCTAGGCTGCAGACCCAATCGCCTCCTGCTGGGCCATCTCTACTGTAGATAACTGCGGCTTGCAAGTATATCACTAAAGATGTCAGTAGGTCTGCCAAGCTCAGGTTCACCACGAAGGCGTTAGTTGCTGTACGGAGTTTGTTGGAGAGAAGAACGGCAGTTATCACTAAAGTATTACCCAAAGTGCCAACGACAGCGATGATGAGATAAATTATGCCTACCACCACCCGCATCGTGAAGGCATTGGGCACAGATGGTGGAATCTCTTCAGTTGTAAACCACGAACCCACTGTTGTAACTTCACTAACATTTTCAGCCATTTCAAGAATGTATTGAAAGTCACTCGGTCCACTGTATTGTGAAGTGCTCCCGATGTGCAAACAGGAAAACCGTACTAATGTTGAATATCGTGGAGGCCTGAAGAAAAATCGCCTGTCAATACAGAGAGATGCACCGTTTTCGGAGCTTAATTGGTGTCACTCTGGTTATAAACAACTGGACAATGCCGCCGATGGATGTGGCCAAAAACGTTGGACTGGTTTGTGTATGTTCTGCGTGTCACAAATGGCACTTCAAAATAATTTCTCTTGTGGCGTTTGTCGTAAAACAGGGTGCCCTCATAAAGTCATGTAATAGGAAAATTCTGCGACGGGCAAACAAAAGTACAATTAATATCGTGTTTATTCACCTCCTTGTTTCGAAAGGATGTCACTCGACGAGGGGGGAGAATTGGATTGGCTCATAATTGCAAATTTAATGGACATTGTGTACAAGAAAAGCGAGGGAGGGACACCATGACACTAGATGCATCATCATTTCCGTACGAAAATAACATGGAATGTGCAGCAATCCCCTTTTGGGTGTGGGGGACGGACGGGGGCTTTAATTCGGCCGAGAGTGCTCAAGAGTTGTATGCAATACTTATACATATCTCGCGATATAGCTGATATTGTTGATGTACCATGTGGCGCGGACCCCTTTGACTTTTAGCCTGTAGCGCCTAGCTGCTAGTGCAAAAGTTTTAAATGAAATTTCATAGAAAGTGAAATGTTATCAAGTTCTAAACAATCCCGTTCATAAATCGCGAGTTTATCAACCCGTTACAAAGTTAGAAGAAGTGAACCCTTTGAAAATGCCCCAAAAAATAAGAAAAAAATTTTCTGACAAACTTCTGGCTGCATATGTAAGTAGAGATAACAATGATTTATCAGAATTTATCAACTTTACAGTAATTCTTAGATGTTAATTTGGAATTTTCCGATATTTATTCAAGTGCGCCACGTTAGGGGACACGTTAGGTTAAATAGCAAGCATTAATAAGGCTGAAGTACCAGTATTTCACTGCATGAATTTGAGGTTTGTCCACAAAGAGGTTTGGCGACACTATACGAGGAAAGTAACGTCAAAGTGCGCCACGTTAGGGAACACAACTATAATAGTGTAAAGGATGTGGCCAGTGGGTTTAATGTGGCTTCGGCGGTCCGATTTTCTCTCTGAACTTGGGAAAAGTTTCTTTCGTAGTTCTGAGTGCGCCACGTTAGGGAACACAACTATGGTGTAAAGGACTGATGTGGCCCAGTGGATTTAATGTGGCTTCGGTGGTCCGTGATGTACATTATTTACATTATTGATTTACTTACCTTTTTATATGGGCTAGATGCAACAGTACTGACAAAGCGGCCAAAATGATGTCACTGCTAAAAATTTATCATTTTTTAGGCTTTTTTTTTTTTTTGATAAAAAAGGAGGCGGCCTCAAAAAAGGAAGCGGGCGGGGGCGCCAAACATGATTTTTGCTTTTGTTATTTGGCCTAACAAGATCACGTAGTTTCAAAAGTCACTTTCACGACAAACCGGTTTATACAAGTGTACGTGTATTCATTATCGCGTCTAGTGAACGACTTTATAAAGTAGTAGGGTTAGTACTATCCGCTCCGTTCACAAGTACCCCCTCACCGGCAAAGAAAGTACAGTTGGGGGTGTTAGTTGGGTGACACTGTGCCCGACGCCATCTTGCCTGACTGCAATTCATTTGCCGAGAAGCGCGGCCACTGCGTGTAGGATGGGACGCCGTATTATCGCGGTACTTATCACGTTTCTCGTTTGGATTAGAGATTGCCCACTAACCTTCCTGAATTGTCCTTTCTTTTGTGTTGTATAACTCTTCCTTTTCATATTGATATAATAAAATCCGACGGTGGTGTAGTTTATTCCGTGTACGATGCCTGTGAAAATAGACATGCTCGGAGTGTGCGAACGGAGGTGGACTCCATATTATCGCGGTATGCGCGAAGTGGTTTTTATAATGATCTCAATTTTTTTTATTGTTAATGTTTGGCCAAAACATCCCCTGAATAAAGTCTGATATTTTCCCTGTAACGTTCAAGTCGATATGAGCAATATGCTTACAGAATGATTCCTTAATTAAGACGCCGCCCCTTTCCCGAAAGGAGAACAAAAATCACTGAGACAAGTCTACTGATTAGCGATTGGGGGCGCCATTCACTTTATGCGGTGTGCCGTTTTTAATTTTTTTTTTCACGCGCTGTCCTTATTTTGATCCCGCAAAAGATTTTGCGATTTCGCGGTGGAAATATCGTCCTTCGACTTAATTTTGTGTTTCCAGCTGTAGAAGGGGAACCAGACAATGGAACTTTTATGGACAGAGCACCATTAAAGATTTATTTTAAAATATAGACGGTACCTTTTGGCAGACATGGTGAGGGAAAATTTGCAAGTTTTGGAAAACGTTAATATTTATTAAAAATCGTTAAAAGCCCCGAAAGACGCACCATTTATTATCGTCCTTTTTATACAACTCGGCAAAAAGTCCTTAATGCCCGGTGAAATGAACTGGATAAAAATCGCCACTGAAGGAGTTTTGGCAACGCAAATTAAAAGAAAAATTTCCGATGCCGAGATAGTAGGGATGCCGCGATAATAGGGAGTCCGACTAGCCTGTCTCAATAATGTGAAGGCCAGTATTATCCTAGAAGAATCGGCAGCAGATATTATACACAATGACAACTGAAAGATGAACATTTTAATAAATACACATACATCTATACATAGTACAAATCCCCTGGTGTACGTGCGTCACACACAATGAACGGGTGCGCGTCAACCAGCGAAATGTCACGCCTATGCATGCGACGGCGCAAGTTGATGGTTGAATACATTATACTGTTATGCACATTAATGTGCACCGAAGCTGCACTTCAGGTATATGTATTGCAAGTTGTATGCATTACTGCATGCATGGTAATTCGGCTCACACTCGGCGCCATTTTCCAGGAAGTACCGTCGTCAACTACTGGGGTTCTCGAACAATTTTCGCAAATTTGAATGCATTTATGCTAGTTTCTCTTTAATTGTGATATTCATCCAATTTCACCAAAGGTGTATATCAGTCTGAAAAGGAAAAACCCTTGAAAATCGTGAGTATATGAATACATTTTAATGGCATATAGGCCTAGGACCTATATCAGTTTCTGTGTATGTAGGCTACGTGCAATTTTGTGGTGGTTGGCAGTCTGGAAATAATTGCTCTCAGTAAAGCCACGCCATATTGTGATAAGGATCATAAAATTCAGCCATTCCAGTAATTAAAGTCATTCGTTTTAACTCGAGAAACAAAATCCATCTTTTGGGTATGAACAATTTCATTAGGGCCTACCATACGCTTCGTTAATTTCCAGTTTGGTGAGGTCAGCAGTTATGTGCAAACCGAATACTGATTTAGTTCAGAGAGGATACATGTTATGTTAAAAATGCCCGTTAATTTGCGGACTCCGTTAAGTGAAATATTCCGTGTCATTTTACGGACTTTACTTAAATGCAAATATTAATTATGCTAATTAGCGTGATTACAATCAACCACATCGGCCCAAACACCTACACATAATATAGTACATCTAAAAAGTAGGCTACATATTGTTATTTCACCCGCAACCGTGTACACATGTCCAAACTCATGTTAAGGGTCTGTTTACTTTACGGAGTGAAAAAACCCTCACCTTTTCCGGGAATTTTGCTGCCAGCAAGAAAATAGCGTTCCGTTTCCTGCAGCAAAATTTCCGGAAAAGGTTTTTCATTCCGCAAAATAAACAGACCCTTAACATGAGTTTGGAAATGGGTACTCGGTTGTGGGTGAAATAACAACATGTACTTAGATGTACTGTATTATGTGTTTGGGCTGATGTGGTGGATTGTAGTTACGCTAATTAGCATAATTAATATTTGCATTTAAGGAAAGTCCGTAAAATGACGCCGAAAATACGGAATATTTCACTTAACGGAGTCCGTAAATTTACGGGCATGTTAACAGTAATTCATTATGAGGTAAGAGCCCGGGGTCAACGTTGTTTATAAACCTTTTCATTGTGCTCAGTCAAAATACTAATTGCAATGAAAAATGTATTTTAAGGTACAGGGGGAAAATGCCGTCACTCGCATTTCAGTTTGTCATTGCATTAAGTAGTGAAAAAATGAAGCTTTTTTTTCCACAATTCTTATCAAATTTGGGCGTTGTCTTTTCAAATGACCTACAAAGTTGGTTAAAAATTAGACTCAAAATATTGATTACAATGAAAAAAGTGTTTGTTTTTTTAATATATACTACTACTGTAATTTAGTAATCCTCAGCCGCAAAGGCACTATAGTTTCTGCAGTCCTGGGCTTAAGTTGTTAAAAAAATGAATTGTGTTCATCCATTTATGTAATATTTGAATAAACTCACAGTCTTAGGCCCCCCCCCCCAAAAAAAATAATATTTGGTCTCTGGTCAGACCAAAGTTCCGGAATTGACGCGGGGAAGCGGCTTTTGTTTGTTTTTTTTGGGGGGGGCTTTTTTTTTCTTCAAGCTTGGATTGTACAGACAGGGTGGGGTACTATTTTGCTTTTTTGGTGTCCTCATGTACATTGGTGTCCTTTCTTGGTGCTCTTTGGTAAAACAAATTGAGGAGGTGCGGCAATAAAGGGCGCTGTTGGAGCTAATACCGCGGAACATTTTGGGAAAAAAAGATTGACGCGCATGAAAATCGACGCGCGCGCTGACCAGAGACCGACTTATTTTTTGTTTGGCCTTAGCAACAGGAGCATGAATTATTTCACCAAAATTGACTTTCAAGAGTTACAAGTTTTATTCGTGTAGGGTCAGACTGTTCATACATCAATAAAACTTGGAACTGTACCTGTGGAAATACAATGCATCATGGGTACCATAAATGATGCCTGCCTTCTATAGGCCTAAGATGCATGCTCAGTGCATGCATGTACTATGCACTTCCCTCAATATTACCATCTAAGAACTTCGCTGTCTGCATTCTTATAACAGACAGTGATATCGTCTGATGTCGCATTTCGTTTGTCACTCGCATTTCATTTGTCACTCACACTTCAAATTTCAAGGGCTCTCTGTTATAGTGTGCTGTTTTTTTTTGGTTTTAATACTCGTTGCTTCTATACTTGGCATTGGTGGGAGAAGCAAATTATCAATTGTCAGCAATATAATCACTACCAGTTTAAAATAATTATAAAAAAGAGGTCTTTTCGTCACTTGCATTTCATATGGCCAAGCGTTCACAGCTGTGCATCTATGTCTTTAAGAAAGTTATGGGCAGATTTTTTTTTTGTGTGTTTAAATAAAGTCATACTACTAAATTGCATAATAATTTTTTGACTAATGCTTTTTCCAAGACAAATATGCAAACAAATGAGAAGTCACATAAAGTGGTACATTTTATAAGCCAAAATCACCAGGAAGAAACGTGACATATTTCATTGAAAACGATGAAGATTTGACTTAAAACGTTTATTTACATTGTAAATCCTGGTCCTTACATCAAAAAGCAATAAATGAAAAAGGAAGTTCAGGAATGAATTTGATTTTTTGGGGGCCAAGTCCCTGTTTGCTTGGAATTGCCCACATACTAATAATGCGCCTCGTCATTTGTTGTGGCAAAATCAGCCAACCTGAAAACTGCGTGTTGTTTTGGTCGGCAGATAGTCCTAGTCCGGTGCAATGTTTGCCTTGGAGAAAGTTCGAGGTGTAACACTAGCGTTTTCAAAAATAGTATGAGCTGAAATTCGGAATATATTTAGATGATATTAGACTGTTCAACTACTCGTGAAATAAAACTTGTGAGGATTCCTAGAAATGTATTTATTTATTTATTAACTCCATTTCTTTACCCAGGGTATGCCCTAACAGTTTAAAACTGGTTTCCATTGGGGCCCTGCATACAATAAATATTGACTATAAACAAGTATAATTATACAATACATTACAAATACAATAAAATTCAATACTGTAAGATAAATCATTATTTGAATAATGCATAGGTGTTAAGCAAATATTATTATAAATACAATATATTTTAAAACTATTATAACTACAAGTACAGTGTGAATGCTAAATTGAAATAAGTAAAAAGATTTGGGACCTTTTCGAAAGATTTGTCCCACGATTTTTAGGTCAGCTTTACCAGTAACCAGTATTGACGTTTCGGCATCGATGGCGGCAAGATTTTCCACTGACATAAAGTTCAGAATATCTACTTCTGTTATTATTTAATATTTCAATCCTTCTGAGCATATATACCGATAAACAGAACGTTAAAAAGCAATGTTTTTTTTTTTTGCCTGCATTGTTTTCACTGAACTGTTTTTAGCATCACTGTACGTAGTCGGATTAAGTTTGTTTAACAACGCCAGACACAAAGCCTTTGCAACCATAAGGCTGCTAAGTCAAGTGACAGTAAGTCAGTTAGTTAGTCAACCGTATGAGCCTAGGCCACGGGGCTGGGCCTCTTTCACCAGCAAAATCGTGTTCTCAAGGCCGTGTGGGTGAACAAACGTGTGCCAAACAGCCTACGATGCTTGTTTCTTTTTTTCTCACCACAAAAATCGAAACGTCCTAAAATCTTGAGTACAAAAGGGGTTATAAAAAAAATGCCTTTAATAATCAATCATTTTTAATTTCATTTAAATAGGTTTTCATTGTGAAGATGGCTGCAGGTGGTGAATCAGTGGCTACAGTTTTGGGTGAGATCAGCCGAGATCACTTGGAGTGTGGCATCTGTCACGAGAGGTACCAGACACCGAAGATTCTCAATTGTCTTCACAGCTTCTGTGAGAAGTGTCTTCTGTCGTACCAGAAAACACTCCAAGATCTGTCTGTGATGCCTTGTCCCGTCTGCCGACGAGAGTCAAACATCCCGTCAGACGGGGTCTCGGGACTCAAGACCAACTTCCATCTGAAGGAGATCGTTGAGGATTTGGGCCTGAAGGAGAAATTGGCGCAAACGAGAGGTGTGAAGTTTCTGTGCGAGCTTTGCGAGGACCAGCGTGAGGCGCAGTCGAGATGCATGGACTGTCCTTTCTTACTCTGCAAGCAGTGCCGAGCTGGCCACCAACGAATTGCCACCACAGCCAACCACGAGGTGCTGGCTCTTGACGTACTGCGGACGGGTGTGGCCGATCTCCAGAGAAAAAGAAAAGTGGAGCCCCTCTGCCAAAAACATCAGGGAGAGAAAAAGAGATTCTTCTGCGAGACCTGCAAAGAATTGATCTGTAGAGATTGCACGGTGGTGGAGCACCGGGCGCACCAGTTCACTACGATTGATGACGCTGCACCACGCTTGAGGCAAAACGTTAAAAAGCTGGTACAAAAATTGGAACATCAAATTTTGCCACTCTTTCAAAAATCCGAAACTGACCTTCATAACATGAACTCCGAGTTGGTTCGATCTGCGTCACTGGTTGAACAAAATGTGACGGAGCGAGCCTCTGCCGAAGAGACCAAAATAGAGGAAAATCTGAGGACCGTCCGTGAAGGCATCTCCAGTCGAAGTAACTATCGCAGTCAAACGCTTCAAGAACATGGAGTTACTCTCATAGAATCCCGATCTATGTGCATGTCAGCACTTCCGAAAAATAAGAACCCTATAGTCGCACAGGAAATGTTTTCAACCATTGATAAAGACCTCTGTGTTTTGAATGATAGCATTATAAAGCTTATAAAATCTGACCAAACTGTTCGTACCGTAATTCAACGGTTCATCAACACCACTGAAAAAGAGGCTAGAGATGGTAAATCTAAAGTCTCAACCAGACAGAAACAACTTTTGTCACAGATTGGTATCACGTCCTCCCAGAAACAAAAGTTCCTGAACGAGTCGATTAAGGTCGTGAGCACCGAGATAGGACGCATCCGTCATGCGTTAGAAATTGCCAAGGACCTGGTGACATCTGCCTCCGACGCTGATTTCCTCAGTCTTCAGTCGATCATTGATAGCGACATCCGGTTACTTCTTGAGCAAAGCCCACCTAAGATTCCCAGCGGTTACCAGAACATCGCCTTCCAGGGAAGCAGTGATAGTGAGTTAGGCGCAGTAGTAGTCGGTGCGACCTGGACATCACAGAGTGACATCGAGCCTCACTATACTAAGAAGACCACTGTACACCGCACAAAAAACATCCTTGCGGATCGCCGCAGTCAAACGATCGCGAGCGGATGGGAAAAGTATGCCGGTGAAAGAAGATCCCAGGATTGGCCCCAGTATAATGAAACGAAAGAAGTCAACATAACGAGCATGGCTCCATTTGGCAAAGACGAAGTACTGGTCGGATTTGAGGAGGCTGTTGTTGTGTACAATACATCCGGGAAGCGTACAAGAGATCGAGAGTACAATGCGAATTCAGGTAAAAATAGAAAAAGGTCTTAGAAAATCAGCATTAACTCAACAATTTGCGATTTATTAAAATACGGAAGATGTACGTTACGATTTTATTTGAAGCTTTGCGTGTATTATTATGAAGAGAAATACAATAGAAAAAAGGTAATTAACAAGTTTTCAATTGGTCTTATTTAATTTCTCCAAATGATAGGAAAGTATTTTTCTGAATGCCTTCTGCCCAGCCACAATGACAATAAGACTGGACAGTCACTCTGTTGTTTTATTGTTCATTTATTTATTTATTTGTTATTATTTTTTTTTAATTTAAGTGCATTTTGTGCTCTATATAACTGCAAATTTCAATGTTCATGGCATTGCGTAAGAACTGCATAACATAAAAACAGGGAATATAACAACCGTCTAGACATAATTCTTTTAGTTCAGAAGTGAAATCAGATATCGTTTGAAGAACAATAAATTCCTGACAATACTCATTGCCATCACAAATATAGTATGTTACGGATTTTCTTTTCACGACGATATTTGGGGAAGAATTTAACTGTAACACCTACACTATACACGCGGCCTAATCATTACTCAATCTTATCAGAGCAATACACTTTTTATAATTATTGCCCTGAGATTACAAAGAAAGGATAAGGTAAAACTGGGAATAGGGGTCAATAAAGTTGGAAAACATTTCATGAACAAGTCTATGAAGATATTTTCCCACTGACACTTATTACTATGCATGGCTCTCTTTGACTGAGAAAAACAGTGAGATAATAATAGTTTATAATCAACCGTTTTAGATTTTAATACACATTTTCTAGTATGCCAGGTTTAATTTACTACAAAGAAAAGTTAAAATGCTTCGAAATTTTGCCTGCTTCTTAACAGATTGTTTTCGTTTTTCTATTTTCTTCCCTTTTTTTTCTGATGGGGAGGAGGGTCAGTGGATCACTTAGTATCCTTTCCAAATGAATCCTTCGTGGGCGTCGAAGCAAAACTACCTACACTGACAATCTACTGCTTTGAAACCAAATCTTCTAAGCCAACCAGATCTTTCAAGAAATCTTATTCTGCCGGACAATGGACTCCGGGATCCATTGCCACTACGAGCTACGGACAGAGCATGCTTGTCATCGGCTGCAAAGGCAACAATCGCGAGGTCATGGTCCTTGACTGCTCCAATGGTTCCGTGATTAGCCGACAGTCCGTCCAAATCGAGCCTGATTTCCTGGCTACCATGGGGGAGGAGTGCGTACTTATCGGTGCAAGGAGCCCGGCTAGTGTGCAAGGCCTGAAGATCAACGGAAACACGTTCCAGTCGTTCCTGTCCATCGACCCTTCCGTCGACTGCTCTCTGGGGCCGGGGGTATGGAACCCATACTGCCTCGGCCTTTGTAGCGACGGCACGGACTACATCTATGTGGTTCTCTCGGTGAGCTCTGCACAGAAACGGGTGCATGTTCATCAGTACAACCGAGTTGGCAGCTTCGTTGGGTGCTCAGCGCTTGAAACTGAGGCACCAGTCAAAGGTACAGCAGTTACAGGAGACGGGAGGCTGGTGTTTGCTGATCAGCGCAAGTTGAGGCTTTTTGTTATGCGCCGAAAGTAGAATCATTCGACGACAAACTGTTTTATTGCGAAGTTGTCCTATGTTGCTGTATCTCTTCCCTCGGCTTAGTCTGTCAATGCTGCTCCGTCAACTGAATCAACTGGAAAGTTGAATCCGTTGATTCCACAGTAAGGCCAAAAAAAAAAGTCTTCGGTTTCTGGTATGCGCGCGCGTCGCCGTAGCCGTGCGCGTCGGCAAAATGAAAAGTTTTTTTCAATGAAAGATGATGTCTCAAAACCGCCAAACTCACTGGTTTGACTGGAATCCTGCTGCTGCACAATTTTAACGTGTTTTTAGATTGGGTTTTGGTCAAGAATAATAAGTGTTATGTGGCCTCTCTGGACTCCCATAATTATATTTGCACTAAGTTTAGTCGGGCACCATTTGCAGTCATCAGCCGACATTTGAAGCAAAAAAATCAGGTAAAAAAAAAAAAGCCGCGTCGCCGCACCACTTTTTGGGCAAGCTCAATACCAGAAACCGGAGACTTTTTTTTTGGCCTAATGTAAAGTACATTTAATGGTCGGATCAAAAGAGACACAAACAGTGACTTCAAAATGAACGCATATTGAGCAAAAGACTCCAGCGTTACGGAACTATTAAAGTTCTGAAGCTGGAGTCATAGACGAAGCCGAGAGTTAAAAAATTGCCTAGGGAAATTTGCACGATTGTAAAACTACACTGTGATGATTAAGAATTAGATACTTTTGTTCAATCAAACAATTTCTGTCCAGGCGGAAGTGATATTTTGCTTCTCTTTTTAAACCATGCCTGAAGTTAAGAACTCGAAAATACCTGAAATAAATCTCAAGGAACATATTTTGTGGTAATATTATATTATGTCACCATTATACGATTGATGGTAATTTTTGTTAGTATTGTTTTAACAGATATTGATATAACGTAAATTTGTACATTACTTGTATTTGTAGCCCTCAAACCTATTCAAAAACTTTCAATACATGAATTTACAATTTTCTTTGTATGCGTTGTTAACAATCATCATTTAGGATCAGTGTTCGGTGAGAAAAAAAGTTTTTTTTCAATCCGTAGCTTAAACCTGTCGTTTTTACCATTTTTAATATTGAAAAAGTAGTAAAACAATGTTATGAATAGTTTTTCAATGAAAGATGATGTCTCAAAACCGCCAAACTCACTGGTTTGACTGGAATCCTGCTGCCGCACAATTTTAACGTGTTTTTAGATTGGGTTATGGTCGAGAATAAGCTTTATGTGGCCTCTCTGGACTCCCATATATTTGCACTAAGTTTAGTCGGGCACCATTTGCAGTCATCAGCCGACATTTGAAGCAAAACAATCAGGTAAAAAAACAAAAAAGCCGCGTCGCTGCACCACTTTTTGGGCAAGCTCAATACCAGAAACCGGAGACTTTTTTTTTTAGCCTAAGGAAAACTCCAGCCAAATCTAACCGCTGGTTTTCACATCAGTATGGCCTAGATATGTTACTGCTACACTTGGCGTATGCTTCCCCCATAATTGGAGCTGCACAGAACTTTGGACTTGCCACTCAGTTTACTGTTTGAACGGTACAGTGGTGTGATATGAAGAGCCATATTAACGTACAAGCGGTCATGTTTCTCCGTTTACTTTTTAGTAATATCCATAATTGCTCCTTTCACCTGAACACACACGCAGACTTTAATCTGTACAACATTACTGGTATCATTATATGTAGCCCTTAAACTTATTCAAGAACTTCCAAAAACACGCGTACATGAATACATTTTTTTATCCGTCGTATAACAATCGTCATTTAGGATTAGTGTTCGAAAGAAAAAAATGTGTTTATTCTGAATCCGTAGCTTAGACCTGTCTTGTCACCATTAACAAGATTTAAAAAGTAGGAAGACTATGTTATTAATATATCAGAATGATATATCACACATTATAATGTACATGTACGTTACTTGGTATCCATGTATCCATATTCACAATCATTCATGGAATGAACCCCCCCCCCTTCTTTTTACATTATTTTTGAAACGGTGGCGTCCACTGAAAAATAGTGGCTGTATTAGCTTCTGTAAAAATGATTTCAACATTGTATATGATACTATGTCGCAGCAAATAATAAAAAGTGGTCAGTCTCTGGTCCCTCTTCTTGTAATATTATTCTGCTGTTTAATTTTAATTCAATAACCAAAAACACATGCAATTATTGAACGTATACATGTGAACTGTTCCCAGTTACAACTGTCAAATTTATATTTCACTTATTATACATCACTATTACCCACTCTTTTAAGCAATGTAAAGTAACTACAGATCATATAGTATCTGTAGTTACGTAACTAAAGTGCATGTACTACAGCCAACTTTCACATTATGCGCCTTTTATGTCCGTGTTGTGTTCGTTAGGCATTTGGGCTTACTCTAGAATGAATGCCGAACCCAAACGTACCGGTGACAACTTGCATATATGGAAACCGTTATTACGTTTAACCCTAAAGGGGCCGGGTTATTTTGACCATCTCTCGGCCGGGGGGGGGGGGGGGCGGATTCCGCCCCCCCCTAAGATCTCGGCCATCGAGTGACGAAAAATTTTGAAACTCGGCACATGCATAGAGTAACTCTCCCTAAACATACCCAAGAAATTTCATGACTATAGGTCAAAGGGTTTTGGAATTATGGCTAATTAATTATTCTGCTCTGTGTACACGACGTATATGCGAAAATTCAGTTTTCACGGCGCGTAGCGCCGGAAAATTTTTTACTACGCGGCAACCCGTGGTCCGATTTTTATGTTTGTGGTATCAAAAGATGCGCAAAGCTCGAGGCTAAAAAGTCATAACAGCTCGGGTCGCGAAATTTTTTTTTTAGAGGCTATCACGGAAAATGTTGAGGGGGGGGGGGGGCGGATTCCGCCCCCCCCGGGACCCTTTAGGGTTAAAACATTACTCATGTGAATCTTGTTAGAAAGAACTTGTATCGTAGTTCTGTAGCATGTACATGTAGTTTCCGCAAATGGATTTTAAAATAGGCTCGTTTTTTTTACTTCATATACGCTATTTTGGTTCAAACATTTTAAGAATTGAGAATGAGAACATGTTGAGAATATTATGGGGCATAACTGCCTTCTCTTCACCACAAAAACTAATTCAATATCATCGTTTCAAAACTATTTTCAAAGAAATATTCAATATCTGTTCCCATTGACATAACACTGCTCTCTTCATAACAGTGCCAAAAGCAGTTTGCTTTATAGATATTTTTTTCAACAAAAAATGGTCACTGAATTCGTCTTATAATCCAACAAGCTTACCCGATGATCGGGTAGGGCCAATTTTGTATTGGGAGTAACGTTAAGGGGTAAAAATAATTGAAATAGATTGTTGAAAATGGTAATATCATAGAAATATAAGCGCAAGAGATACATGTTCAAGTTTTGAAGGAAACCGTATTTTGTTTAATTTTATTTTTTTTCTGAATTTGTCTCATACTCAATTCCAGACCCATCTACTGTGCACTATCATTAGATACCATCGGAATAATTTTACATTATATAATGCATAATTACATAGCAAGTTCATTAAACCTTTAATACAATGAAGTTGGAAAGTTTGCTTTTCTATGATTTCTAATTTCTAATACGTGTTACATTTGTGGCATTTCGAGAAAAAAAAGACTCTTTTTGTTGCTCTCCTCTCCTACACTATCCACGGATCCTAGACACCAGGATAAACGACTGTTCTGAGCTCTAGTACAAAATGCACTCAGTGGACGCGTGATAACGGGCATAATCATTACCCGTTGGCGCGTAATCGCGAATTTTCCAGATGTGCCATTGTGTTGGGTTTTTGCACGACATCTAAAAATATTCATAAAACTGTAAGTAAAACTACTTCTTATTTAAGATATAATTGTTCCAAATTATTTAAAAAATAAATACTTCAGGGTATAAAAGATGGTACTGTGCAGTTTTTGTCGTCATAGATGAAGTATTTACCCGGTAAATAAACTTAAAATTCGAGGAGAACACCGTTTACCCAAATTTCGTTTTTAATTAGGCTTTAGAGAGAGAGGAGGCCGAACCGATGAAACAAAAGCGACATTTCATTGTTCATCCTAAAGCTAAAGATATTGTGCTCGGCATTACTATGGTTATGTAGTTATCACTTATCAGAATTCAATAATAATAAAGACCGAAAACATAAAATCATGAATATTCAAAAATATAATTCGCTGGCTTGACAGACTTCGAGGCCAGATCGGGCAAAGAGCCTTGCAAATCTGAAAGCCACCGCGCGCAGTGGTCTTTGTTGAAAAGTATTAATGGTATTTGCCACTAGTACAGGCCGTTATCACGCGTCTAACCAGGAGTTGGGCGAGTCGTTAATCCTTGTGTGTAGGATCCGTGCACTATCCTTGAGTGCAGAGGCATTTCATCCTATGAAACAATAGCTATTCATAAGATGGATTATTTTTGCATGGGGGTGATGTAAATCAAATTAGGTGTTGCCCTTCACCGACGTATAAACACTGTATACTCAGTGTGTTACCTCCTGAGTGAAAGTTGGAGAAAAAAAATCACTCGGGTGGGATTCGAACCCACGACCTCCTGCTTTCTCGTGCAGATGTCTTACCACTCGACCACCGAGATAACAGGATCGGTGGGCTGGTTCGAATCTGATGTACATAGCAGCGGGTATCGCACTAGAAAGCAGGAGGTTGTGGGTTCGAGTCCCACCAGAGTGATTTTTTTCCCCCAACTTTCACTCGGGAGGTAGCACACCGAGTATACAGTGTTAAAGTCGGTGAAGGGCAAAACCTAATTTGATTGAAGCAATAGCTACATGTACATGTATCTGTGTGCATGAGAGTTCGCTTTGTGAAACCCCCAAATGCTAGTTTCTGTTGCTATGAAAGGATGAAGGACATGATTTGATCAATGGCCGATTACATAAAGTAACTTAGTCTAGAAACACATACACCAGCTATGGTCAAATTTACAAATTTATAGAAGTACTTTAATCTTTGTCAAATAATCTGTTTGCTTGGGGTTTTTGCTTTCAATAAACAACCTTTTCAACATACATTGACTTGTTGTCTTCACATTCCTTTCATTCACCTGATCTCTTTTTATGAATAACTTAAAAGTGTCATTCAACTGGAAGATAGTGTTACAGAAGGTGTATCTGCTCAGGCATAATTGGACAAGCACGATCAGTTTTGAGAGCAACTCTGTACATTGAGTTTAACTGCAACATCCGATTGAACAAATCTATTGCCTTTATACACACTTAATACCTGACCATAATGTTACGACCTTTTAACCCTCATTTCTTTTAAAAAGGTCTTGGTCTATCATCAGAAGTGTTCAATGTGATCAGGTTTTTTGTTCATTCTTTGACGGCCTCTTTTGTGTGAGTTTCTTTTACGGAACCTTCCTTTGACTCTTGTACGGGTTTCTCAGCTTGGTTCTTTGATGTGCTGCTTGACCCCTTGGTCACCATTGGAGTCATGAGAGATGAGGTCAAAGTTGAGGAGGTCAGGATAACAGGTGCTGCGCACTTCTGCTTGCTGAGAGTGGCTGGTATGGTAGAGACCCGCTTGGAGCCAATAGGGACCTGAAGGATTACGCCTTTCCCTGGGGTAAGGCTGGCTGGAATCCCCGTGGAGAGTAACGGGTTTGTGATCAATGGAATGGTACCTTGGGGAAGAGAGTGCCCCAGGGATCCCACCACTGACACTGCTTTCACCCCTTGACCTGCTGTGCCACCCTGAGGTCCCGCTGAAGCCATCAGAAGAGACATGGGTATGGATGGAAGTTCTGCGTGTGCTGGATGACTGGCTGCGATGCTGGTTCCATCAGAGTGCGCTTTTCCTTGAAGTGTCTGCTGAGATGCTAAGGATGTCAATGTGCGCATGGCAGAGGCCTGGGATGCTGTGAAAACAGGTGTTTTTTTAGAGCTTGGGGTGGTAGTGGGCTGAGTTGACGAGGACCCACTTTGGGGTTGGAAGATGAGGCCGGAAGCTGATGGCTGGTGGACGCCAGCAGGAATGTTGCCAAGGAACATTGGAGATGTTAAGAGGGACCCCTTCTGAGGAGGAACCAAAGTAGCTGATGTGGCTGCCTGAAGAGTGATGACTTGGTCTTGGACAGGTGCATCAGCTCTTGGCTGGGACTTTCTCCTGGAGGCTGGAGAAGGGCTCTGAGAAGATGCTATCTTTGCAGCTGAAGCACGCGGAGGAGACTTGGACTTTGTTGAGGGTTTTCTTCCAGCCCTCGGTGTAGATACCCCTTCTAGCGACATACCCAATCCAGCCAGGAGTCCTCCAACAGTCGGGAGTTTGGTCTTTCCCCCATGTCCTCTTGATGAACCTCCACCTGTTGCAGTTTTCTTCTCCTCTGTTGCTCCCTTAAGGGTTAATGTAACATTCACAGGGAGGGTACCTGGCTTGGAGTGGAAAGCTAGAGCTGCAGGGATGGTGCTTGAGGGTTGTGTCTTGGATGTATCGGCAATTGCATTAGCACCAGTTAGCGTGAGGGTTATGGGTTGATTGGTTGATGGTGGCATGCCCGGCTTACTGGTAGAAAGGGTGTTGCTTTTCCTTCCTGGACTCTCAGTGGACAATTGCTGTGCCTGTTCAGGATGGGAGAGGAGTTGACCCATCATGAGTGAGGGTACCGGCACTGCCGTCATTTGTGGGGTACTGGTGACGCTTCTCATCACAGGCTGACTGCTTTTCTGTGGGGAGGCACCAAGCTGCTGACTGGCCAGCTGTGCCACAAACCCCCTTGGAGCAAGAAGCTGTGCCTTGATCAGGGAATTCCCACTCTGGTAAGGTCCGGCTTCGCTGCTGGCTGCGGAAGAACTTGGCACCAGGACACTCGGCATGGCTGCGTGGGTCAGAAGCGCTTGAACTTGGGATGAGAATGCATGACTTCCAGAGACCGCTACAGGTGATGACAGGTGCCTCTGAAACACCTGCGGTTGAAGAGCGGCAGGGGCTTTGGTGCCCCTCGGTCCAGCCTTGCCACCCAGGAGGCTACTTATGGGGCTCTGGGTGGTGCTTGAGGCGGGACTCTTGGCAAAGCTGTGCGGGCTGATGGAGGAACTCCCTGGGGACCGTGACGGGCTGGGTGTCTCCAAACCCATACCAACACTGATGATGCTATCGTTGCTAGTGTCACTCATAGCAGAGGGAGGGCGGCCAGCTTGATGGAAGAGCTGCATGTCCTTGATGACTGGTTTCTATGGAAATTTAATAAACAAAATTTAAACACAAATCTGTTGCATGCAAATCTTCTCTTTGTGGTATTTAAACACCTATCACATATCTACACCTATCTGTATTTGCATATGAGGTCATGCGCTAGAAATCCAGTGCAAAATAAAGAAAAACATAAGCTTTAGCCGACGATTGAACCAAGGCGTTCAATCGGATCCAAATGATTTGCATAAATAATGGCCGAATGAGGTCCCTGTTTACACAGTTTTTTGACATGCAGTGCATAGCGAGGATATGTCCCCGAATACCGTACCCATGGACGGATAATGACGAACGCCATGACCAAGGCTATATGCTGCTGCACACAATTTAAGCAACAGCTTTCAAGTTTCTGTCATATCTTTACATCAAAATAGCATCAAAGTCAACTAGCACCCTTCTCAACGAATTGATACAACTGATCCTCTTTGTCATTGGTTAGGAGATTCTTTTGCATAGTCTGGACAGAACTTTAATATCCAACAAAATTTTGCATTGAAGCAAAGCATACTCACTGCTCTATGCATCGGTTTAGGCTGCTTCTGTATGGTGCGCTTGGCCTTGATGGTCACAGCCTGCTCCAAATGAAGACGCTCTGTTTGCAAAAATGAAAACATAAGCATACGTATACAAATGTATCAACCTGTTAGCCATTGTACTTAATTGCATTACACTGAACATGTATTTATTCCCTGCGACATGCATAACACCATCAATTTTTTGGGCTGTTTGTGACTTTACAGTGAGTAATACATGTAGGATGGGCTGTTTAGGTGGTACACTGACTAAAGGGTTAACTGAGCACCAAACAGATTTAAAAACAGATTGCGAGCTCAAATATCACGAGATATCTATAGATCTCGCTCAAATGACGTCATTTCCTACAGACCATCCAAGTGCATCAGCATTTGGAGCGTGATCTTGCATAAGGCGCATCAGCTGCCTCGTATTTTGAACACATTTCGAGCAACAAGCGCGCGTGTTTGTAACATTTTCAACACTGCGCAATGCGTGCTTGATTGCGTGAAATACGCAGTTGCAGTTCTCCTACAGAGATGGCTGTCTTTGAGAGAGACATATTGTACAAATGGTTGAAGACAAGGTAATTCTAGTGACAGCTCTTAAAGGGAAGATACAACATTTGCAAACATCGCAAAACGAAATGATCAAATTATCATGAAATACCTTACTGGACTGCTAGGGAATGACAGTCTAAAGCATCCTGTAAAATCATGGCTCCTGGTGTGCTATCATTCTCAGGAAAAATGGTATTTTTCCAATGCTGGTCGGCTGACCAGCGTTGGAAAAAAATGGCTTTTTCAAAACGTGCTTCTAATTTTTCCTAATTAGTTATTCATTGTTTTCTTTGCAATTGATTGCACACCTGTGAAGGGGGACAAGCCTGCTAGACTGATTCTCTCACTTTAAAATTCCCCAAAGTCTATAAATTGCTCCGTTCCATCTTAAGTGGGGTCGGGGAACCAGACTACAAGAACATGATTGGTTTTCTTGGTTTTTTCAACATCTACAAGCCCAAAACGTGAAACAAGTCATTTTAACAACATTTGCTATAACATACTAATCCTCCTGTCCCATTTTTTTCTGAAAATTGCAGCAAAAGCAAATGTTGTACATTCCCTTTAAAAGTAAGAAACATAACAATATTCACTTACCAAACTCTTCCTCCGATCGGTTTCTATGCAGGTATATCCACAGCTTGCGGTTACCATCATACTTGACACAAGGGTCTTTCTCGTAGTGTAGACGGTCTAGTGCCCCGCTCACCACTGTGTTGATCTGATTGTCGGTGGCGTCGGCCAGGAACTTGGAGTCCTTCAGGAGCTCACAGACCTCGGCCCGGGTGCCCTCGCCGTTTGGTAACCTAGCAACCGCATCACGAACTGTAACCACGCACAGATTAAAAATACAAAAGTGAAGGTCTTGTGTAGAATATGACCTTCCACCACAAAATGCAGGTATCAACCTTTTGGTGCACACCGCGTGTTGCTAGGGAACACCCCCAAAACATTACAATCTGCACATCCAACCAAATAATATAGGCAACAAAAATTGCTTAATCTAGGTTTTGGGATGAGAAACTTGATAGAGATCCAGTCCAGTCCAGATAGACAAAGGAAGTATTCGTTCATTGCCTGATTTTGTGTGTATCTCGAAAGTACAGTCGAGTCTCGTTAATACAAACTCGTTCGGACATAGCCAAATTGTTTGTTATATCAGAATTTTGTATTAAGAGGAACATCAGTCCCATTCATTGTGCACATAAATGCACAGTCAGGACCAAGGCTTTATGTTTGTTATAACCAGAATTTTGTATTAACAGAGTTTGTACTAACGAGATTCGACTGTAATTATCTCAAGGTTTTCTCCTGCCTCTCCTAGAAATGTGGACAGACTATCTTGCCACAAGTTTTTCAAGCTGGGAGCTATGGTGCCATGGACACCCTTTGATGAATGCACGGATCCTCTACACAAGGATAAATGACTTCCCCCAATTTCAGGTTAGAGCCGTGATATGGCACTTGCGGGTCGTGCGTGTGTGAGACTGGGCGCGCGACTGCAGTCTTTCTGTGGTCAAATTTCTTGCAGGACGCCAGCTGTCTGTGATCATGGCGTGCCCGCATTATTCTCCATTGTTCTATGTGCAAACGCGGCATATCAAGCGTATCAAAAGTCCAGAAACAAGTATCACAAGTCAATTGGCATGTCTGCTCACACGAATAGCTTGTGAGTGGAAGACTTGTGACTGACATGTGATTGACATGTGACTGACATGTGCCTGACATGAGACTGACGTGAATGACATGTGACTGACATTTGATGACTTGTGATCCACCACAAGCAACTTGACTCCAACAACAGTCCTTGATTTCATTACCAGAAACATATAAACTTACAGTTACTTGTACAGGCTTACCCAGGGACAGAATGGTGACATATGGTGGTCTGTCAGACACAAGCAGCGAGTGTTCTCGTGCTTTATTCAGCGACGTTTCCTTGCCATAAACTCCCTTGACTGGCCCGACCACCGACTTGTAACCATGCATGCGGTACGTGTAAGCCTTGTGAGGCTGCTCATAACGTTCGTGCTCCTGGTAACAAGCAATGCAAGTCAAATGACACATAAATATTGGTTAGTTTTTTTAACTTGTGCATGCTGTATACGGATGCTGTGCCAGAACAAGAGCGTGCTGTTATAATGTACAAATGTACACCTCAGTGTTAAGTCCAAGAAAAGGTCCCATTTTTGTCCCATACACAACAGCACGTTTTCTTTAATTATTTTATCCTTGCAAAGACTTATAGCATATAAGAGTTCTTGTAGGTATTCTCCATGAAGATGCCATTTAGTAGAATAAAAAATACTGAAATCCATGAATATAAGAGGGTTAAACTTTGGTTACGTATGTTTGGGACATAGCGTACACGAATTCTTGGACTTGCCCACCTACTTATGAAAGCCAGAGTAGGGATGCGAACCGCACGCACTGGTCCACTGTGTATATGGTGCGTAATGCACATGACATACTTGCAACTGAACATTTACAAACTTGTAAGGTCTTTGCGCAAAAATGCACTGGAGAAAATGTCCCCAATTTTTCCAAATATAAACTCTGCATAACAGGGGAATCTTGCTGGGAAACTTCATGAGCCACTGCTTGACTAAGCAGGACTGTTCATAATATGGATTTTTTTTGTCTCGGGGTGATGTAAATCAAATTAGTTATAAGATGGAATTTTTGCGTCGGGGTGATATAAATTAAATTAGGTTTTGCCCTTCACCGACGTTTAAACACTGTATACTCAGTGTGTTACCTCCCGAGTGAAAGTTGGAAAAAAATCACTCGGGTGGGACTCGAACCCACGACCTCCTGCTTTCTAGTGCAGGAGGTCTGTTCAGGACTGTTCATGCAACTAGGGCACCCAGATAGTGCTGACCAAGATGCAATTAAGGCCCGTCTCAATTTATATCCGGGACAAGTTTCAAACAAGTTGAAGGTAGAACCAGAAGCAGCTCTGCATTTGTCGTGGACATGTTCCGGGAAAATTTTCATCAGCAACTGCTTGATTCATTAATACTGATAAATAACTTCTTTGCAGGGAGATTACAGCAAAGTTCTTCAGAATCCTGCAACATAATACAATGTTTGCCACTTGTCTGGAACTGTTCTGGATATGAATTGATGAGATGGGCCCTTAGCCTCAAGGGGAAGTTTCTCTGATGGGAATATAACTTAGATGAATCTTAAAGTGTTGAATACAGCAGCAACATTGACTTTAAAGAGGCTGTGGAATGCTCGAAGACATTTCCGTCATTTTTCGGGTATATGTAGCCTAAGGTGTGCTGAAATAAAAACGATTATTGTGTCTGTCATGAAATGAGTACAAAAGGTACTTTTGAGAGCTGTTTTTCAGGTCCTGTTTCGACCACTGCAATTCGTGTAAAAGTCGTCGTTGGGGGCAGCAAACAAAACATAGTAAATCATGATGTAATAAACAGAAATCGTTCATACTACGCTGCATTGGGAGTCCTGTTTATTACGTCACGATTTTACTATTTTTGTTTGCTGCCCCGAACGACGACTTTTACACAAATTGCACGTTCGGGTCAAAACAGGACCTGAAAAACAGCTCTCAAAAGTACCTTTTGTACTATTTTCATGACAGACACAATAGTCGTTTTTTATTTCATCACACCTTAGGCTACATATACCCGAAAAATGACGGAAATGTCTTCGAGCATTCCACAACCTCTGTAACGCTTTGATGTAATTAATAGGAACTGCACACAAAACAATTGCATTACCTGTGCCCTGAATAAAGCCTTCTCCTCAATCGTGCTGGGTCGGACAACAAAGTCAGTACGCCTGGTTAAAAAAAACAAAAAACTATATACGTGTACCAAACCTATATTTTGTATTCCGTGCTGAAACCATCAAGATGAAAAGACTTAAGGCTACACTCATTACGAGAATTCAGCCTCAACACGCATCATTTGTTTGAGATACTCACACTTTAATGGGGCTTGGCACCGTTGGGCTGGCCTGACGTTCTATTTCAGGGGGAGTAGGTTTGTCTTCCAGGACAGCAGTCAGCCATTGCTTGAACAGGATAGTCAGCTGTTCATCCGAGTCTCTTCCCTCCCCTTGGTAATGTAATGATAAGAACAGAGATCATTGATTGCTTAAGTTCACTGATTGTTTAATGCCCCAATTGGGCAACAAAAAGTGTTTTAAATGAGATGACAAGAAAAGTGGATTGAAAAGTAGAATATAAACATCCACACAACCATCCTTTAAAAACTGGGCTTTTTTGTGTTATTCTTTTGAGAAAAATGCGAAGAACGAATTTCGGGGGTCACAATTTTGTCCCAGAAACATCTAGCTGTGAGTGCTAGTTGTGAATCCAGCCCCACGATGGTTCGTACTCTGTGGATGTGTAAGAAACAACATTTGTGATACGATCAAGCTAAATCAGTGGTTTGTCGGGAATTTTTATTTGGAGATACAGGCCAAAATAGGGCCACTTCATCACATCACTTCACCACATCTCTTGGTGTTCCCACTTCCATAATTTTTGAACTAAAGATGGTATCAGCATGCGATTTTCACAGCAGTAATGCTGAGATTGTGCTCTTTTCAAATCTGTAGTAAAAAATGTTTTGACCAGGGTTGACAAATGACACATGTAGCTTGATCGCATCACATTTGTGGGTAGGCCTACACTGCGTTTTGGGGAAATTTTTTTATTGTTAGGCAAATTAGGACCGAGTTATGAGGACTTTCTGCTGTCCCCGCAGCGTTTTCAGTCCCCACAAATACCTCGTACAGACGAGTGTATGTCCCCACAACTACGGAACATGACTGTGTGTATTGGTGCTGTGCGTATTATTTGACACACACAGACACACACAAACAGTTCAATGAATAGACGCGACTTGAAATACGTCGCGTCCGATGTAAACAACCAGGTTTTTTTGTCTTTTCTCGTGAATGGTAAAGACATTAGGTTTGTTTCCTTTCAACCAGACACTTAAAATATTACATAGGGAATTTCAGGCCATAATGTTCGCTCATACCCACCGCCCTGCAAACAGGGCGCTGAGAAGGGCTGATGAGCTTCACAGAATCTTGTGAAGGAAGTGGGGATGGCATTCTGGGTAATTTATCATGACCTATGTATAAAGCATCTGGCTGCAGCTGTAGACCGCGGTTAGCCAATGCGCGCAAATGCTATCCGAAAAGTTTGCCATAGAAATGCATACACACCATACCGGATGTGATTTCTTTTTCACTGCGGACCATGTGGACAAATTTTGAGCGTCGAATGATATGCATTTTGACCCTTCGTGAATTCGGAACGGAGCCTGAGCAACTGATGGGAGCTGAACATTTACAAAACGGATAAGCTTTACAGATTTTCCTACATTATTACGCTTTTCAACGAAAAATGAATGAGAATAAAAGAGTGATGAATGACTCAGTCTTGACGGCCGTTTGAAACCTTGCAGAGTCGTGGCCGTGATGACTTGCAGGTCACAGGTCACGCAAAATCTATCCAATCAGAGCGTGAATTCATCAGCCCTTCCCAGCGTCCTGTTTGTAGGGCGGGGGTACGAGCAAAGCCATAATGCCCCTCTAATAGATACTGTTTTACTAGGGTTAAATAAATCCAATGAAGTGATATTTACCAATCCAGCCCCACATGTGCACGACGTCGTTGTATTCCACCATCGGAGCCTTAATCGGCATGCTCGGCAATTCACCAATCAGAAACTTGAGCATGCTGCCAAGGGCCGTGGACCACGACGACACGAGCATGAACCAGACGTTGAGGGCACTCACCGGCGCCGTCTGCCAGGTCTCGGTGTGCGCCTGCAGCTCGGCCAGGGTCATGTGACCGTCGGGGGACTCCCTCAGCGTGTCCCGCAGGAAACTGAAGAAGTTTGGGTAGAGCATGGACTTGGGGGAACTGTGGAGAACCAAAGAGAGTATTGGAACTTAAAATGGGTCGTTCTATTGATTTATTACTTCAAACGAGGCTAGTCACCAGCAGTCAGATAATATGTCAAGCAAGCACTGTGTCTAATCAAACTGGTTCAATAGATAAAGCAGGTAAGTTGTGGTCACAGCTGTTTGATCGCTGACCCGGAGTCAAAACATAGCTGTATCAAGTTACAGTCGACTCTCGCTAGTACAAACTCTGTTAATACAAAATTCTGGTTATAACAACCATAAAGCCTTAGTCCCGACTGTGCATTTTATGTGCACAATGAATGGGACTGATGTTCCTCTTAATACAACATTCCGATATAACAAACAATTTGGCTGGGTCCGAATGAGTTTGTTATAACGAGACTCGACTGTACATGTACTTAAACAGTCACAGCCAGTCAACCTGGGTTTATGTAGGCTGGGAATGTTCAAAACAGTCACTTGATTGATTTTGACTGAAAGGACAACTTGGCACAAATGTATGTTTGCATAGGAGGGTTAATAGTCAAGATCTTTACTGATATTACATAAGATAAATGTTGTGGGAAAACAGTCTGTAGGATAATTTTCCACTTTTTAGTTCTTCCCATGCGGTAGAATTCACCCAAAAAAATATAGAACAAAGTCACAAGTGGAGTTGTGCAACACATCATTTTTGTTTTGCCCTACTTGGTTAAAGGAATGCAATTATGATTTTTTTTTCAGCTATAAAAAAAAAGGGAAAAAAAAGGACTGACTCTACAATTTGCTTTATTCGTGTTTCACCTTTGCACATTGCCCATGTCTTCATCTTTCCCAGCATCAACCACCACAGTAGGCCCCTCCTGATTGGTGGACAGACTGCCAGAGGACTCCGTGGTAGCCAATGAGGTGCGACTTTCCAGAGAGACCACAGAGATGGGCGTGGTGGCCTTGGGGGGTCTGCCCTTCTTCCGTTTCTTGGCCAGTTTGTCCTTGACTTTGGCTTTCCTCTTCTGTGACAGTGGCATGGATTTGGCTCTAAAGTCTACCAGCAAAATGATAAAATTCTTTACGTGATTTTTTTATTCAGAGTCAATGCAGGGTGACCCCAAAGAAGTTGTGTAAGCAGATATCGTTAAATTTCTCAAAAAGGACCTAAATGAGCATTTTATTTTGATGGAGCATATTAATTATATTCCTGTGTGTAGTCAGTGAAAATGTCATGGAAACCCATTCATGCAAACCAGAGCTGTAACAGATTATAAAAGGATATGTGTTTTCCAACCATTCCAATAGGAATTACACATTTCATTGGAAATCACTCAACCGGCACTCTGCAATGGGTCTTTTCATTATCTGTGTAAATCACATTGGAACGGGTGAAAAACACCTTGCCATTTATAATCTCTTGGAGTGCTGTGGCCTTGAGGTTAAGGGCACTGATTCGTGGTCTGTGGGTAAAGCTGCAGGTTGTGGGTTCGAGTCCTGGCGGGGTCATGGTGCGTGTGCCCTTGAGCAAGGCACTTTGTCACTCATTGCGTCTCTCCACCCAGGAGTAAATGGGTACCTATGAGGGCAGAGATGGTTATTGTGATTGAATTAGCTTACTTGCGCCTAACAGGCAGCATCGAGCTGTATACTCCCCAGGGAGCTGAGATGGTATATGGAATGTTTAATTGGCCCAATGATCAGGGGTAATAATAATGTAGAGCGCTTTGATCTCAATTAAAAGCGCTATATAAGAACCTGTTATTATTATTGTATCTCTGGTTTGCGTGAATGCATTTTCATCAAATTTTCACTGTGATTATACACAAGAGTACAAACAATATTCTACATCAACCAGGCATGCAACTGGGAATTTAGAAAAAAACGAGGAAACGCCAAACCACGCAAGACTTTGTACAGTGTTTTTCAATTTGTAATGGCATTCATGAGAAGTAAAAATCGAGGAAATCAGCAGATCCAAGGAAAAGTTGCATGCCTGATCAACATGAAATGTTGGTATTGGATACTTTTGAGAAATTTAGTATGGAGGATGTGATCTTATCAACAGATCTGGACTCCTGAAAAAATTCCTGATGAAGAGTAACAAAAGCGTATCTACTTGTTTTGTCACAATATATTTAAAGTCGAAATGGGGCAAAAGATTGTGTGATTCTAGACACTGTTTATAAAATAACCTGCGCTAACCACTTTGTGCCAGGTTTATTTTTGCCGAAAATTTCAAAATTTTCAAAAGCCAAAATTTCCGAGCCAACTTCTGATATACAGCCAAACGTCACAAGTACTGATTCGCAAGAGTCATTTCAACAGTATTTGTACGATATTTCTTGCCGAAACTTCATATGTGTCAACACTACGGGGAGTGTAAATTGTACAATAGGCCGTGCACAATGGCCCACACAACGGTCAGCACACGGTCTGCTTCCACAGACTACACAGACTTTGTGTGTGTGTAGAAAAGGCACGAGGGATAAGCGTGTTTAGACGTCACCCGGACACGAATCGTGGCAATCTTGACGTCTTAACCCGTCAGCAGTGCCTGTGTTATCAGGGCCTCCCTTGCAAACTGGTTAAACTATCTTTTCAATTTTTGGACAGCCATCACATCTTTTGGTTTCATTTTGGTTTCAGAGTCTGAATGTCTTGCACTGATCGGAATAATTCCCAAGACAAAACATTGATACTGAGGGATCAACTTTTTTTTTTTTTTTTAATATGCGGCCTTGCCACATGAAACAGAAAATAACTTTTGACATGTCAGGGGCACGACATCCAAAGGCAATTTTGGGCAAGGCCATTTTTTTGGCAGTGAATACTTTTTTGATCCCTGGGCCCCGAATCGAACACCGGCAACTTGACAGGAAAATAACATCGACATTTTTCCCCTAATTTTTAAAAGCATAAATACATGTTAGGTCTCACCCAACCCCCCAACGTTCAGTTTCTTCACTTTAGAAAATGATGACAATTATGCATGACCCCTTAATACAACAAATGAGTAAGCTAAAGGTGACATGAAAACAGACTTTAAGAAACTACTGTAAAAGCACTAACCTCGGGAAGGTACAATGGGCGAGTTCTGGGTGGAAAACGTTCTTGTCATGACATCCTCCATGGTGATGTTGCTTGCATCCAATTCAAAGTGATCCTGGGGTGTGTGGAAAATTACAGTGTCAATTGGAGTACATAGGTTGCTCTTTAAGTCTTAGTTTTGTGCTTTGATCTTAGTTAAAGGGGCACTAGGTCCTGAAATCCCCGAAAAGTTCATGTTTTGGATTGTTTACTTAGCCTATTTCAAACATCTGGTTGAAAGGAAACCAACCTAATGTCTTACCGGTCCCAAGAAAAGACAAAAAAAAAACCGCTTGTTTACATCGGACACGACAGAGTACAAATACGTTTTTCGTGTCGTTCTCAGTGTATGATATACACATTGTGTGTCTCGGGAACAGCGGAGACCAATCACCAATGCAAAAAAAAAGTGGTTTCTTCAACGTCCGCAAAAGGCGAACACTAGACATACGAATGAAATCACAACTAGCGTCCAAACAGCTCGAATTTATGGGGTCGCAATAGTGGACCCCAAAATTCGTTCCTGCACGCATAATACAGGAATAACAAAAAAAATGCCCAATGTTTAAAGGATAGTTGTGTGGATGTGTATATCCTACTTTTAAAAGTTATTTCCGATTAACATCTCGTTCAAAGTGCGTTTTGTAGCCCAATTGGGCTGTTCCAGGATCTAGTGTCCCTTTAGAATCATTATCTAGTATTATTATGAAGCTCTGTGATCTGGAAGTTAACCATACCATTCCAGCATCTCTCCTGCGTTGGTGCTTGTCGATAATGTCCATGTACGCTGCCTCAGATAACTGCAAGGGAGAATCAGGGGCGGATGGAAGGATAGCAGCATCGTCCCTATCATCAGGGCTTCCTAATGTAAACAAGAACAAAATAGAGAAAAAGTTTAAAACCTTAACTCATTTGGCACTTGTACTACATTTGTATTACAATGTGTTAACCCTAAAAGGGCCGGGGGGGGGGCGCCCTCAACTTTCTCCGCCTAGCCTTGACAAAAATTGTTTCGCGACCCGAGCTGTTATGACTTTTTAGCCTTGAGCTTTGCGCATCTTTTGATACCAAAAACATAAAAATCGGATGAGGGTTGCCGCGTAGCGAAAAATTTTCCGGCGCTATGCGCCGTGAAAATTGAATTTTTCCATATATACGTCATGTACACACACCAGAATTACCACTCCTAGATGTTCACAATTAATTAGCCATAATTCCAAAACCCTTTGACCTATAGTCATGAAATTTCTTGGGTATCTTCATGAAGAGTTGCTCTATGCATGTACCGAGTTTCAAAATTTTTCGTCACTCGATGGCCGAGATCTTGAAGGGGGGGGGGGGGGGAATCCCCCCGTGGCTGAGAGATGGTAAAAATAACCTGGGCCTTTTAGGGTTAATCCAATGAAGAATGGAAAACATATAGTGATCAGGCAGTTTCAGGGGCTACAGTAATAGACTATTATCATGTTGCAGCCATTTGATTTTTTTTTCCCATTCAAATCAATGTAACCAAAGTGAGGCTGGAGGGAAAAATAGTCTGGTTCCTTTTTTGCAGAAAAACATTATCATTCAGTACTGTGATTGGATACAGGGAACATGACTAAAATGGTGGAAGCATGACATAGGTCTATAGGCAGGTCGGTTTGGGGTGCTACAGTAACTAAAGAGTTAAAGGGCTCATGTAATAGAATTTTTTTTAATGTAATCCTTTAATGCATCTTAACATGTATGTCCAATTTAGGTTCAAACCCTGTTCCAGTCAATTTCTATGTTCAACTTTACAATTCGAATCAATCTCTTGAAAGATGTAGTGCACTGGTTGCACACTTACCATCTTGGTTGGATCCTACTTGTGGGTTGATAGGTTTATGATCGAAGGTGGACTGCACTCGCGGTGTGAACTTTGGAAGGACAATGTCACTCGGTGCTTCGTACCAGGCTGAGGATCGCTTCTTGGATGGTGTTTTGTCTGGAAAGTAAAATGGTGTTGATTCAGGTTGAGGTTAGGTTGGGTTTGGCTGGGTACAGATGGGTTGGGTCGAGTTGAGTTGGGTTGGGTTGGGATTGGTTGAGTTGCGTTGAGTTCAGTTGGGTTGCTGAAGTTGAGTTTGTTTCTGCATTCAATAGGGAACATTGAACAATAGAGGACAATAGGGTCCACTATTCCCGAAGTTCCACAACTGACGATTGTGTACCAAACAAATGGGAGGTCTTCCTAAAAAGAAAAGAACAAACAAAAGAGGGAGAAGAGGGGGGCCACGATTGCAGGTGGGTTGAGATGGGTTTGTGTGGGTTGGGTTGGGTTGGGTTGGGTTGGGTTTGTGTGGGTTGGGTTGGGTTGGGTTGGGTTGGGTTTGTGTGGGTTGGGTTGGGTTGGGTTTGTGTGGGTTGGGTTGGGTTTGCTTGGGTACAGCTGGGTTGGGTATGGTTAGATTGAGTTGGGTCGGGTTTGGTGGGGTAGGATCAGGTAGGGATTGGGTGGATTTTATCAGGATTGTGTAGCTGGGATTGAATAGATCTGGATTGGGTTGGGTTAATGGGGTAGGATTGGGTCCGGATAGGGTAGGTTTGATGGGCATGGTAAAGCCATGTTGGCATGGATTAGAATTGGGCTGGGATGGAATGGGCTCAGTTAGGTTGGGATACAATTACGTTGAGTTCGTTGAACTTAATTAGGACGGTATAGCTGGGATGGTATGGATTTGGATTGATTTGGCAAGTTGACAGGGGTTAGGTTGAGATTGGTTGGGTTAAACTGGGACAGTGTAGCTGGGTTGGACTAGGCCTGAATTGGGTTTGATCCAGTCATCTGTACACAACTTCAAATGATTGTCCACCTAACTTTACATTAAGTCACACAAGAAAACATATAATACCAAAATGTAACCAGTAAAAAACAATAGGTGTTTGGTTTAATATACCAGTTTACTAAAACTCACCTCTGGCTACAGAAACATCATCATCTTCATCACTTGTATATAATTCCTAAAAAAAAAATTGAAGGCCAACTTTGAAGGAGTTCATGATCAGATGATGAATTTTTGTTTTTCATTTGTTCCACTTTCCCTCACCGAATTTCTTGCGAAACTTGAATGAATTAGATGTTCCCGATAATTTCAGCTCTTTTCAGAGTCAAGGATTTATTTGCTATCCACTCCGTGCACAAGTACCCCCTCAACGGTAAGAAAGGGAGAGTTGGGGAAGACCACTGGCACAATGACTGGGAGAGACATTCGAACGCATTGGCGACAACGCCCGACGCTCACGTAAAGACGCTATGGCTTTGTGCACACTCGGAATAAAATAAGTCGTGCATACTTTGCGCTATACGTTCGCGAACCAGCACTGTCGACTGGCCTCTCAAAAGTGCTCAAATAGCGCCCTCTCTTGTTGGTGCATGAAGCCCATACCTAATGAAAGCCAAGATTGTTTGGACCAAAAGCTGGAAAAACAAGATTTTTTTTCACACTTACCCCGCATTCTATTCTGCATTCCTTCAAAATCCTGATGGTTTAAACAAACATAAAACTGTTTTATTAAAAAAATACGGTAAGTATATATGTGGGAGTACAAGGAAAATATTGAGAAAAAGGCCTTTAAAGTTTTGAGTTTTGTCGTCGTGAAAATGAAACATATCGGTTGTATTTCCTTAAATACACGTTTATTCCACAATTTTTATATTAATTCTTTAAAACATGATACCATTCTTAAATTGCTAAATATAACGGCTTATGCCAAAAATACATGTCCGTCATGCATTGAGCGTAGTGCGCACTGCGTGACGCTTAAAATTCATTTATTTGAAAAGCAAGGCACACATGTCCATGTATCCGTATATCGTTCTCTGTATTGAGTTGTCCGTTTAAATTTAATACGCTCCAGGGAGTGATTCAATGGATGACGCATCCAATACGCATGAGATTTGTTGCCTACAACTTAAAGAAACACCTCTTACATGTATATCGTTGCGTCACTCCCACATGTACATGTATATGACAAGCTACATTTACACATTTCTTTTGTTAGACAGGCTGATTTCAAACTACAAATGCATCCATTTACATTCATGGATACAACTTACTTTCTGTACTTCTTGGTCACTACACCGTCCAGGTCTTTCTGGATGGTCAAAGGTCGTGGGCGCTTGACCTTAAAGGGTTCATCGGGTGCCGTGAACTGTGCAGCCTCAAGCAGCTCCTTCATGTAAATGCAGAATTATAAACAGTATGAAAATTACACGCTGATGAAGTGACTACCAGATTACAAGTACAACAAACACAATTCGGGCAATCCACAATGCAGTGCGCCACCAAGAGTTTGCCACGGAGAGTTTTTTCATTTTTCCCAGTGCATTGTGGGAGATGGTTGACAAATTCGCAGCGCGGGACATTTGAAATTGTTCATTTTTCTGGTCAGTAGTTTCGTAAGCATATGATTCGAGTATACATTTGCCCTTTTCTTTTTATCAATTTTTTTTTTTTTTTGTAAGGCGGCAGAACACTATGCCCCAATCCATAACAAATTAGCTCAAGTTGTCTACTGACACTCATTCAAATGGGCCATGTTTTGTCGACCGCAAACTTGAAAAATAGACTCTCCATGGCACACTCTTGGTGGCGCACTGCATTGTGAATCGCCCGAATTACCACTGATCAGCAAGTTAAAACTTTATTGTATTCCTGGGTCCGTTTCATAGTCCCAAAACGGCATATTTCTCGCTGGAAGCTGTAATTATACACTCCGGTATTGCAAACAGCTCAACCGTACTGGAATCTGTGTGTGCCACACTGAAAATGAGCAGTGTTATGCTTAAAATCAGATGCACTGTACTGTACAGAATCATTTTAAACTTTCACTTTCCTGCATAAAAATATAGTTCCTCTGCCTTCAACTTTGTCTCTTCCATTTTTTAAAGAAGTTCCTGTTCCAGCGAGGCAGTGTTGAATGATCAGTTTACTGCCTTCCCAAATCTTACAATTTTATTGTATTCCTGGGTCCGTTTCAAAGTCCCAAAACGACACGCGTCACGCTGGAAGCTGTAATTATACACTCCGGTATTGCAAACAGCTCAACCGTACTGGAATCTGTGTGTGCCACACTGAAAATGAGCAGTGTTATGCTTAAAATCAGATGCACTGTACTGTACAGAATCATTTTAAACTTTCGCTTTCCTGCATAAAAATATAGTTCCTCTGCCTTCAACTTTGTCTCTTCCATTTTTTAAAGAAGTTCCTGTTCCAGCGAGGCAGTGTTGAATGATCAGTTTACTGCCTTCCCAAATCTTACAAAATCTTCTACGCACAATGGAGGATTTTGAAAGAGTGAGGCTATATGGCAAACATGTGGCTGATTTTGGAGGATGCACTGTGTCAAGGTCTTAGGCCGGACCTGGTGTTGTTTACATGTGTGCTCAGCCTTGCATAAATTTCGGCCTAGATTATACTTGAAATACTCCGCACTGCTCCAGGATGTCACTGGCTCTACCTCGACATATTGACAGTGATTGCTGGAGGATTTTGCAGGATTGAGACAGTGTTCACCCCTCCAAGCCTAAGGACTAGTTTCAAGAAATAACAGATGATTTGGGAGATTGATGCTGTATGCAATTTTTACATGGAGGCAGTTGGAAGACTTTGCAAGATTGAGGTACATCCTAGCAAAAATACCTAGGGAGTTAGGGTTAAGGCCAAAAAAAAAAAAAAGTCGGTCTCTGGTCAGCGCGCGCGTCGATTTTAATCATGCGCGTCGATCTTTTTTTTTTCCAAAATGTTCCGCGGTAACTCATACAGCGCCCTCGATTTCCGCACGTCCTCAATTTTTTTTTACCAAAGAGCACCAAGGAATGGGAAATTGCACCAAGGCAGATGATCGAAAGCACCAAGGCAAATTATGGAGGACACCAATGTACATGAGGACACCAAAAAAGCAAAATAGTACCCACCTTGTCTGTACAACCCAAGCTAGAATTAAAAAAAAATAAAAAACTTTGGTCTGACCAGAGACCGAATATTTTTTTTTGGGCCTAATAGAGCTTAATTTGCCTACCTGTCTAGATATGAGCACCTCCTTCAGCATGCGATGGCATCGCAGCTCCTGCTGGTGTTTGTACTCGCGGTACTTGGCCTGCCGCAGCGCCCTCTTGTGTTTGAAGACATCCAGGTACAGGTAGCCGGCCCGCAGATCCTTCTGCAGCTTTCTGACTGGGTTGCCGAATTTGAGGTTCTCACCGGCAAACAGTCGTCTGTTTTACGAGACGATTTCATTGAGGGTTAGTGCATATGAGACGACAACAAAAATTGTTCGCGTCAACAAAACTGTCAAGACAAATCACAGCCTTTGTTTTCACTGTAAATGATTGAAATTGGAAATTGAGTTATTTTCCTTGTTCTGGTAAGGGTATAAGTTTTTTAATTACCTTCATGAGTCTGATTTTGGTATTTATATTCAGTATGTTATATGTTTTCTCATTGGTTTGAAAAAAAATAAGAAATTTTGAAATCTCCGATTGCTCCTGATTGTGGGGTGATGTGGTCCAGTGGTTATGGTGTTCGACTCGTGTGCCGTGGTACGTGGGTTAAAATTCTGACAGGGAACATGGTGCTTGTGCGCTTAGGCAAGGCACTTTACTACGATTGCCTCTCTCCACCTAGGTGTAGTAAATGGGTACCTGGTCAGAAGAAGCTCCTTCAATGCTTGAGCGCCGTAATGGCAGCCGTGCTAAAGCCAGGGTTATAATAAGAGCGCCAGGAGCGTCACTTTGTGTTGACATGAGCGCTATACAAGACGCCATTATTATTATTATTACCACTAGTATTACATGACAGCACATGGTAGTAACACACACACCTATGGGATGTTAGTGCATGCAGCCGCTTCAATAGGTGTATGTGTAATTGCCAGACACGGCCAAGTAATTCGGACTTGGCCTAAGATTCCTTTCACAGTCCATCATTTGTAATTTGTGCATGTTGTTCGTTTGAAGCAACAAAAGTGTTCAAAATCTAATGAAGGATACTGAACGACTAACCTGATGAAGTTTTAGCTCAGCTTCAGCTGTATATTCCGAGAAAAACAGCTTTCTAGGATCTCAATTTCAAGTCAAAAGTTGCTGAATCATGTTTTCAATTGTTTTGAATTGCAGCTATACGCAACGTCGCGCACATGATCTGATGAATTATAGCAACCGCGCGCGCCTGTGCGCCGTGCCAATGCTTGCGCGCGCTGTGCCGAATAACAAAACGAACCACTAATTTAAATTTTCCTACGGTGCATCCGTTGGAAAGGCCTTCTTTCGTTGATTACTTCAAAATGATAGCTTGCCAGAAAGATTACTTTCACAGAGAGTTTAGTCCACTTACTATCTTTCAACCAAGTATGTTTTTCAACAATAATACGCCAGTTACTTTTTCGGATGGCTGCAAATGATGGACTATAGCTTTAACCACAGCATGCAGGTGCGTCTGAATCCCATGGCAATGGCTTGCAAATACACAAGCACCTGTGGAAAAAGGCTCAAGCCAGCCGTAGCAAGGTAACTCGGACACGGCCGTACAATCTCACCTCAGTGTCTCTGTCTTCTCCTCGCTGTCGGACTCGGGGAATTCTGGGAGCATTTTGGACAACCGCTCCCTGTCCTCCTGTGATAGCACGTTGTTCCAAGTCTCCAGGCTGACCACCTGGTGAAATATCTTTGGCTACAAAGAACAGAAAAGGAAACAAAGGACAAAGAAGCTGAGAAAGTGTGACGTCACCTCCTCACTTCTTCAACAACGGTTCATGTACATTCCATTACGGAAAAAAATGTCATGTGTGTTTAACACACGATCACAGACAGCTATTTTACATCCTACTTTTAGCCTATCCGCTCCGTTCACAAGTACCCCCTCACCGGCAAAGAAAGTACAGTTGGGGGTGACCGACCGACGCCATCTTGCCTGACTGCAATTTTGCCGCAACCCGCGGCCTTACCACTGCGTGTACGTAGTACAAATCCCCTGGTGTACGTGCTTCACACACAAGGAGCGGTGCGCGTCAACCAGCTAAATGTCCTGCCCATGGGACATCGTTGCTATGTAAAAGGGCGCCCTCTTTCACTGGCGCACTGAGCCCATAGAACACTTTCACAAATTAGTACTTGAAAATGGCTCACTGCCTTTCAGCAGATTGTCACCACACCAGTTGCAACCACAGTTGTGCTGATTTTCACTTCAAAGAGGAGAATCGAGCCAACTATAAAACAGGTTTACAACAGCCACAGCGAAACCACGGTGTTACTTGGCCCTTGCAGTGTGCGTGAACCAGTAACCATGGTTACACCGAATTGACCTATGAGTGATGTCATGACTATTCAAGTGAATACACACAATTGAGCATTTGCTTTGCTTATGGGTGCACGCCTGTAAACTGGCCAAAAATCCGTCCCCCGAGCTCATGAATAAAAGTTATACCCTCAAAATATTGGAGTTTTGAGAGCCATAAAATTGGGGAATTGAAGAGATATGGTAATGCACCTCTGGCCCGGACTTGGGGCTTCCAATTCTGAGCATTTCGGATGCTATTGGGCTCGAAAGTGGCGCTATTTTGCCATGTTAAGGAGGGATCGTTTTTCAAGATGGCTACTTTTCTGCTTTGGGGAAAATAGAGGTCGTCTTCTTTGGGTGAGATTATCTCGAAAAGTCAATGGTCAAACCACCAAAAAATGAAAAGGAAATGAAAGATGACACATTGAACATCATTTTTCTGTGAAGCTTGAATACCTGTGAGAGTTCTGAGTATTTTTAAAAGAATTTTGAAGTATGCGCATTTAGCACTAGTTCTATGGGAATTTTTTTTCAGGGTTGCATCCTTATGTTGACAGAAAAGACCACCATCTATTGTCAGTGCATAGACTCAAAACAGGGCGCCAATTTCAAGTCCTGACGAGAAACTTTTTTTTAACTTGGCCTTAACCTTATACTCTCATCCAAATTTTTCACTTATTGACTTAAGTCCTCGCCCGAACTTCGGCCAAGACTTTGCTGTTCATATAGGTTCCGCTATTCGCACTCGCGATAACCCGCCGACAGAGGGCGTTATCACGACAAACCACTATCGCTCATGAACTAGCAGTTTGTCATGATTACGCCTTCTTGCGGCAGCAGGTTATCGTGAATCCAATAGACAACGTCATGGCCCAAGACTATGCCGCTATTCACGACAAACTAAAAGCCTGCGGCCGCAAGAGGGCGTTATCACGACGAACCGCTATCGCTCATGAATTAGCGGTTTGTCATGATTACGCCTTCTTGCGGCAGCAGGTTATTGCGAATCCGACAGACAACGTCATGGCCCAAGACTATGCCGCTATTCACGACCAACTAAAAGCCTGCGGCCGCGAGAGGGCGTTATCACGACGAACCGCTCTCACTCATGAACTAGCGGTTTGTTGTGATTACGCCTTCTTGCGACAGCAGGTTATCGTGAATCCGACAGACAACGTTATGGCACAAGACTATGCCCTAACTTGCCGACTGTGATCATAGTCAAGCATCTGTTTACCTGCTCAATGAGCTCCAATGGCAGCCACACTTTGGCCTTGTTCAGGATGCAAGCTTCAAAGCGTCTGTTCTTGTTGACCGTGGGAGCATCTCCCCTACCCGGTGAGGAGTGACTGCTCCTGGGGCTGGGCCAGCTTGCTTTGGGGCTCCTGGATGCGCGGGCTGGTGATTGGTGTCTTGCTGGAGATGAAGTGTTCTTGTGCCTGGATGCAGGCCTTGGCATTTCTGGAAAAATTGATTAACAATGTCTGTTCTCAGTCATCCAGTTGTTTAAAACAAAGCTGAAGATGACAGAGTGCAACACGAAAATATAGATGGTATGCACCGCAATGCACAGCATGCGCAATGTAAGTGGGCAATATCGTGTTGATTTGCATGCCATCAAATAAAAAAAATGTGTAAGAAAATAGCATTCTCTGCCACAAGATGTTGTTTAAAATTAAAGGGAAAATACAACATTTGCAAACATCAAAAAATAAAACTACCAAATTATTTTGAAATACCTTGCTGGACTGTTAGTGAATGACAGAGTAAAGCATCCTGTAAAATCATGGCACCTGGTATACTGTCATTTTCAAGAAAAGTGGTTTTTTTGTATCAATTTCCAACACTGGTCGGCCGACCAGCGTTGGAAAAAAACTGGCTTTTTTTTCAAATACTGGCCCCAATTAACCATCGCACTTGTTTGCAATCGATTACACACCTATGGACGGGTTCAAGCCAGCTAGACTGGTTCCCTTACAATTCCCCAATGTATGTAAACTGCTGTTTCTTCTTATATGTAGTCAGGGAACCAGACTACAGGAAAATGATTGTTTTTCTTGGTTTTTACAGCATTTTCGAACCCAAAACCTCAAAAAAGTCAGTGTAACTATATTTGCTATATATTTCCAACCCCCCAATTCCATCCATTTCTGAAAATTACAGCAAAAGCAAATGATGTATATTCCCTTTAAAAGTAACAGAGTCATTAGAAATATAACAAGTCTCCAAAGCCGTGTTCAGTACATTTTGTACACAAGCTCAGATGAGTCGTTTATCCTTGTGTAGAGGATCCGTGGCCCAAATAAAAATCACCTGGTTGTGGGGAGGTCGGAAACATTTTCCGGGCGGTTAGAGATGCGTCCTCTTCTGGACAATTGTCCACAGTGACCACATCTACCTCGCCGTTCTGTGGACTGTCCACAACCACCGTCTCATTCTGCGAGTTCTCGTTGAGGTCGTCCAGACTGATGCGTCGTCCCAGGGACACAGACAGCTGGCGCGTCATGGCTGATTCCAGTAACTCCTGATCTCTCCTTGCGTCGGGATCATCGGAGGCAACCACGTCTCTTGTAGCCATTCTGAAGAAAAAAATAAAAGCAAATAAGAAGTTTTGATCGTTGGGCAACTTTAAATTAAACGTTGTTCTCCTTGTGTTATTTCAAGTTTATCTCAAATTTTTTTTGGGGTAAATTTGCAATTTTTCTAGCAAAACAAAATTTATTCACTCGATTGGTTAAATGTTGGAGTACCAAGCTGAAGGGGGGGAGGGGGGGGCGCATAAAAATGCAGAATGTGAAGAATGAGAATGAATACTGTGACATCCCATATTGCCAATGCTATTTGGCACTTAAATTGATATTGTTCACACCCCCATCATTACGCCGCAGAGCTGGATTGTATCTAGTCAAAAAGAGCAATTTTGGCAGCTTCTGGACATCTTCTTTTTTTTCGTGACATGCATATGATACATACAGGGACTTGTAACTTGTCTAGCCTAAACAAAGCACTTCCCAGACTAGTTCCCAGTCCTCCGTTATTACAAAACTTCCCATAGTGGGCAGAAAAAAGCAATAACAGGTTTAATTCGATTCTAATTATCGTAGTTATACGAGTACAGAAGCATAGATCATTTTCTTTCCTCGTTATATGAATTATTTTCCCCTTTAACCGCTATACATTTCATTTAACGTAATTATGCCGTGCAATGTTTAAGATTGCGCAAAATTCATAAATTGCGCTCGTGATATTCCCACGCAATCTTAAGAATGAGCGCTCATTCTTCAGATTGAGTGCTCATTCTTAAGAACGCGCGCTCGTTCTTAAGAATGCGCTCATTCTTAAGATTGCGCGCTCATTCTTAAGATTGCGTGATTTGCAAGAAAGCGCACAACAGATCAATCATTCATGTGTGCACAACAAAGTTAGGAATTACAAGCTGATGGCTACACCATCATGACCATCGTTACTTTGTCGTATTTAACCCATTATTAACCTGTTGCAAGCGCAACTATTCCCAAAACACACAAAGCATTTAATTACATTGTTGTTCACCAATGATTGCACACGACGGTCGGTGTTTCGTTCCTCACACACCGTGCCGTGTATGAACGGCAGGGTGACCGTAAGGTCAGAGCCAAATTCTGCTAAATGCACATCAAAAATCTGTCAGATTTATCAAAAATCTGCCAAATTCCCCAGAATTACTCGAAATACACTATAAACACGTAATATCACATGCAGATTGGTAGTATTGCCTTAATTAAGATTTGAATTTCATAATAAACAATCTAGTCACATAAAGATGTTGTGAAAGTATTGGAAAGTTTCAGGCAAAACGCGGATCCGGCCACGACGAAGTCCGTTTCCCAGTGAACCTCAGAACCTAGACCAGCCAACCTGTCCCATTATGCAAGGGTTTGTTTGAAAAAGGACTGATTTTTTTTAAAATAAAGGTACACTTTTTTGTTCAAATTTGCTGTTTTTCTGTCAAATAACCATTTTTGCAGAATTCTGCCAGAAATCTGCCAAAAAAAATCCATTCTGTCAAATTTTCTGTCAAACTCGTTTTTTAACAAAAATTCTGTCAAAGTTAGCCGAGAATCGGCTAAAACGGTCACCCTGATGAACGGTAAACACGGTACCCGCATAAAACCAACACGACAAACATACCGTGGAAATTAAGCTAGGCTCTGGGTAACAGACTATTGTTTACCACAAGTGCCAAAGATAATTAGACTGGTGCACTTCTCGAGGCTTGCTGTTTTTTTTGTTTTTTTTGGAAGGCTTCGAGTCAACCCGGTCCGGAGTCCGGACCTACTCAACTCGGACCCAGGAAGACCAAGTCGGCCCCAGCCCAACTCGGGCTTAGACCAACTCGGACCTAGACCAACTCGGACCAGACGAGAGAAATGGGACCCGTGCCGTAACCAACACGCACCCAATGTTTTAAACTTACCTTGATGTTTTTCAAAACGTGTTAAATCATGACATGAAAAAATGTGAATTGTACGTGTATTTTAATGTTTTAAAAATCTCATTGATTCCTAATTTGTACAAAGGAGTCAATGAGATTTTTAAGCACAATTAATAATGTGCTCATGAAAAGTGCACTTGTTTAAAAAGAAGAAGTGGCACTTGTTAAAAAAAGGCACTTTTAAAAACATATGGGGGGGGGTGGTTAAACGCTGGTGAAAAGGGCACCTGATTGGAAAAGGGCAGTCTTTTACAGAATATTCTTCTTCTTCCTTACAAGTGCAGACATCATGGCTGAAAATAATCGCAAAATTTGGGGATCCCCTTACCCCCCCCCCCCCTCCGCTTGCTACGCCGCTGTTTATTCTGGGTTTTTTTAGGCTTCGCTCGTACCCCCTCCCCCCCCCCCCCCCCCCCCCCCCCGCAAACAGGGCGCTGGGAAGGGCAGATGAGCTTCACAGAATCTTGTGAAGGAAGGGGGGTGGCATTCTGGGTAATTTATCATGACCTATGTATAAAGCATCTGGCTGCAGCTGTAGACCGCGGTTAGCCAATGCGCGCAAATACTATCCGAAAAGTTTGGCATAGAAATGCAAACACACCATACGGGATGTGATATCTTTTTCATTGCGGATCATGTGGACATATTTTGAGCGTTGAGTGATTGGCATTTCGACCCTTTACGTGAATCCGAAACGGAGCCTGAGCAACTGACGGGAGTTGAAAATTTACAAAACAGATAAGTTTTACACTTTTCCTACATTATTATGCTTCAACCAAAAAGGGCACCGCATTTATGAATGGGAATAAGAGACTGATGAATGACTCAGTCTTAACGGCTGTTTCAAACTTAGCAGGGTCGTGGTCGTGATGACTGACAGGTCACAGGTCATGCAAAATCTATCCAATCAGAGCGTTAATTCGTCAGCCCTTCCCAGCGTCCTGTTTGCAGGGCGGGGGGGGGGGGGGGTAAAAGCGAAGTGTTAGGCCTACATACATTTGTCACACGTTTGCAGCATTTAAGTGTTAACAACTTTTGTGAGTCTTTACTACTACTAGGCTCCACCCCGAACTTCCATTTTATTTGGTGACGCAGGAAGTCGAAGCGCGGTGACAGCGCCACCATGCAAGTGGTAAAACTTCCACCCCAACATGCTGTTTCGCCCGGGATCGTACCAACCGTCCTGAAACAGGGCGGTGGGGAGGTCTAACTTATTCTGGGTGCATGACGTAATTTCTTCGAGTCCCTATTGGATAAAATTTTGTTTGAACATTAGTACGGGTCAATCAATCCGCTTGCGCATGAAAATGTACGTGCATTGGATGAGGCAGCTTTCCACATTGCTTTGCGCGCCCGTGCTTCCTTCACAACATTTTGTGAAGGAAATTAACCCTTTCCAGTGCCCTATTTGAGGGCGGTGGGTCCGGGTACGGGCGAAACACTCCCTTGCGGCTGACCTGCACGCAATTACTTTGCTGATCAATATCATGTCAGCTTTGCTTGAATTTCTGAGTAATATTGGAAGTATATCTTGCCAACTTGGCCCTGTTTTGTCTTTTGCCTAATCTACAGCCTCTTTAAGGGCACTCACGAACAGTCTACCGATTTGATGACAAAAATATTTGTCAAAGTGTCTTCAAGATATATATGGGTGTTACCAAATATCCTGTACAAGTATTCCACCTTAAAAACGGTATCGTTCGGAAAAATAAAACAATGATTAAAAGGTGGTTGAAGACAATAATGTGCCCGCGGGCTTAAGCAACGTAATTTTGTCCTGTTACGAAACCCCCAAAAATGTGCCCCCAAATTGTTTTGATGTTTTCTCAAAATGTGTACTTGCACTTAGCTAAACCTTCCACATGTCAGTTGTTATGCAACTCAAGTTGAAACTCTGTAACATTGGTAGATTGATTCAAAAGGATATATCACGGCTCTTGGGACCAGATTTGCGCAATGGAGTTCGTTTTTTGGACAACTCTCTGGTGTCGGACGGATGAAAAGCTTTTGCTCAATCCGTCATTCGGCTTCACCGGGATTAGAGACGGATATGGCCGGAGACGAGCAGCGGATTAGTGTACAGTCATTGGCGGGGATTTAAACGGGAGAAAATGCTGTATCCAGTTACATGAATTAACGACGTGCCAATCAAAATGGCAACACTATTATATCGGAACGAAAGACACTTAATCAAAAGTACTTATTGGAAGTATACGGTGTGCGGTAAATAATAACAAGAAAAGAGCCTACAGGCTAGGGGGCCCTTTATTGTGACTGTCCTTGACAAAACAAGTCAGGCTTTATCCATTATCCTCGACTGAATTTTTAATCTACTTTTAATCTACCGAATGTTTTCATAAACTCTCTCATTTCTAAGAATTTTCACAACTTGCTTGAAGTTTATACCATGCGCGTACAACAGGTATAGAAAGACGTTGCACGGACGTAATACTTTTAGACGTAAGGCGACTTTATTAATGAAATACAGGGTTAGTAAAGAAAAAACGAAACCCAAATGTCGGGACTATTGTTTTGTGAAGTTCTGCATGCAGCACGTTTAAAATCCGGGATATAAAAGCCCAATTCATAAGCTTTCTTTTAGTACAAGAATCATTTAAATCACTCATGTGCTTTTTAAGTTACAGAGTTTTGAAAACAATCACCGTTTAAAATTTCTGTCCACGGATCACAAAAATGGTGTGCGTTCTTGCAGTCGTTTTGTTGAAAGAACACTTACTTTTTGTGTGATCCGTGTCCGTGGACAGACCTTTACAACGGTGGATGTGTTTAAAATTCCGTAACTTGAAAAGTTCACGAGCGATTTGAAAGATTCTTGTACTACAAGAAAGCTTATGAACTGGGCTTTCTTATCCTAGATTTTGAAAGTACTTCATGCAGAACTCCACTAAAACAATGGTCCCGACATTTGGTTGTTGTTTTTTTACTCACCCTGTATAATTTAACAACTCGCAGAATAAACAAAATTGTTTGCCACATCAACATTTTAATATTCTGGAGCACTGAATTGGTTGTAGCTTTTAGTGTGGGTGTTCTTGGCCAATTCTTTGTGGTCGTTACTTAATTGTCACAATTTATATAAAAAATAACCCTTGCCCTATAATGTTAATCGCGAAATCGGCAACATTTATTTACTTTCACTATCAATGTTTAGCCAAAATCATTACATTTGCAAATTTACAAACATTCAGTTATATCGAATGAATGATGTTTTATGATAGAACAACATTACTGCGACGTAAACATTGTTGTAAAATATCACTGAATACAAGCCAGCCGACTTAACAAGAAATGCTGGTAAAAAAAAAGACATTCGCTCTGCACATGTTTCTTTCATGCGCCTTGTGATGTTAAAAACGTAACACACTGTTTAAATTAAATTTTCAGATAAATGACACCTCACATGAAACCAAATTTATGTTGTTGTTTTTCACTGTCAAGGAGAAGTCTACTCACGTTCGGCTTGGGGCTAAAGTATCATGACTGTAATTGGTTCGTGATGACTGTAAGACCCATGCATTTTCTGAAATCGTTCATCTGGAATAGAGTGGAGCAGAGTATGCAATTGATCGCATTGAATGCTCGCGGATCGGTGTGGGTCTGTTTGCATGTGCATGCGGAAGAGATATATGGAAAATACTTCGCACTTATATGGCGGGAAACACCAGCACAGTGCAGTGAACGGCTTTGTCACATCTCCCAAGGCAACCCCCCGTGATAAGACCACTTACATTTTTGCACTTAACGAATCTATAATTCCATTATGTCACGTTGTTACTCTTGCGCGAGTTGGTACTTTCAAAACTCCTTTTACAAGTTCCTGTCAAAATGTGAATGTGGAAAAGGGAAATGCATTGGATACGTCGATAGCTCAATAACAAAATGGAATGTATAGCTTCTAAGAATCGTCAGACCGTGGTTGAGACGAACAGCACTTATGTTAGAATCGTAAATCGCGTATTTGAATGGTTTCAATGTAATAAGTGTAGCTGTTAATAACGGCAGTGTAGCTCTCAACGAATTAAATCCCCAAATTGTGGCAAAAAACGCCAGTCAAATTTACTCCGACTAATTCAGCATTATCACACTCTCAAACCTCAACATGAAAAATTCAATTTAGGTAACTTTATTAAATTGGATGAAACGTC